CCAAACAGACAAAAACAACCCCCACAAAAACCCACCCAATCCCCTCCCAACAGAGAAAGGAGGAGAAATCTAAGCAAATTGTGCTAGCAGTCTGCACATGAAAACTGCTACCTCACAAAGTTTAGCAATGACCATGGGGATTTTTCACACTCAGAATTAATTCTTGCACATCTTCTGATAAAATATGAAGCACTAAAACTTACTAATCCACGCCATATGTGATGCTACTTAGATGTTTCCTACACAAAACATTTCTGCATAAAGCAAGCATCTAACAAAAATAAATAAATTACTGCACAAATTCATTAGCAGCTACCAGTGCTCAGATGGTACCTTTTTCCCCCTGAATGAGTCTTTGCTGTTCTTGGTAGTTTAGGACAAGAAACTCATCCAAAATAGTATCCAATACCCGGTGTTGTCTAAAACCTGTTGAACTTGCCCTGTTAAAAAAAAAAAAGCCTTTTCTTTCAAAAATAAAGACTTCTTATTGTACCTTTTATTATACTTTATAAAGATGTACAAAACAGTCAGCACTAAGACGACTACATGTCCTCCTGACTGCTCTAAGGCACACACCTATGATTAATTTTAGTGAGTTTTTCCCTTAATCCAAAGTTCCTGAAAAGGAGGAATCCCTATGATCTTGCCCCACCCCTCCACTTGGTCTTAACTGCTCTCAGAAACTGTAGTTCTGTTTGTAGGAAAGTACTGCAGTCCTGCAAACTGTGACTTTTCAATTTATTCTTTTCATTTACTACCTTCACCCTTTAAGCCAGACTGCTCTTCTAGTAACAACTAAAAGCTGCCCTTTGTAGAAAAAAACAAGTGTCACCCAAAAGGGGTGTAATTCACTTTTCAGGCCAACTACATCCTTGTTCTGTGCTGAAAATGGCAGCCAGCACAACAAAAATTGACACCAGAGGTACTTGGGTTTTTTCCTTCCTTTTCAAACAGGCAACAAGTTATTTTCCCACTGAAGTGAGTTATACAATGGCTATGTATCAAATTTGAAAACTCAAAATTTCAGTTGATGAAAGCCAGATTCTAGAGGGAGACAACATGGGTAAAAAAAAATATCAATACACATGGTATTTTAATACAAAATATTAGCTTTTTTCTTTCTTTTTTTTTCTTTTTTACACAAGTCAGTTGTTTTTTAAATATAGAACCTTAAAAAATAAACAAATTGCTATCCACACACTATAAACACTTTTTTGTGCTCAGTTTGATCAAGTTACCAGAACAATTTAAACACCAGTCCATAGTTTAAACGCTGCCTTGAAGTTTTATGAAAACTATGCCGCACTGTGCTCTGTCATTATCGTATGTACAGTGTGAAGCACCTTCTTTCAGTTTTAATAAGGTAGTAGAAACTGTTCAGTTACCAGGTTCTTTGTGCAAGGGTTTCACATTCTACTCATGCTCAAAACAGATTTGCATTACATTTCAGTGGCACTGGTATGAGCAACCACGTGTAATTCTGTGAATGCTCAGTGGAAAAACGTCCATTACAAAAACTGAAACACATTCTGGAAGTTCTTCAGCTAGATAAAAGAAAACTTGTTAGTTGATGGGAAACACTAGCCTGATTAGCCAGAATTTAACAATTTCTAAGCACTGAAATGAATTTTGATTTCTCAAAGTTGAATAAAATTCATTAACTATCACATTTTCATAGAGATGAACTATATAGCAGATACATCTCAGGAATATTTGTAATTGCCCGCTTTTTGAACCCATAGAAAGAAAAAATTTCCCTCTAAGTTGGAGGTCTCAAAAGGTATTGTTTTAGTAGTAAATCATCCACAAGTTGCAGGTTGTTAGCCAAGTAGATTTTAGGATGATTTACTTGCATTACAGTAATTTACACAATTGAACTTTATGCATACAGTACAAAACTATGAACAAAAAGGTGAAGCAAACTTTTTTATTTATATTCAGGTAAAAACATTAACCTGATGAAGTAAATTATTGCAGATTTGAGAAATCAGCACATAAAACAGTTGGACAGAGCATTGCTTACAGGTGCTTTATCTGTGTCAAAAGACAAAGGCTGAACTGTTTGTTCCAAGCTAGCACTGGGAAAAAAAAAAAAGAAAAAGCCTACAAAAGTAATAAGGAACTTAGATCAAGAACAAGAAAACTCTTTACTCAAACAGGGAATGAAACAACTACTTTGTCTTTTAAAAAACTTCCTATCAATTCGAAATGCTCTGGCCTTACCACAATACACACTGGCCAGCCCAAGCTGTTGGGACTTCAACTACATGAAAGAAATAATTCTTCCTTGCCTCTAGTAAGAGGCTTTTGCTGCCTGAATCACTGTGTAAACAGCTCTAGAGCGTCGACTGGTAAAGGCTGTCGCCATTATATCCTACCACTACAGTAAAACTATGCTATAAGAAAGGTTCTACCTAGTTACAAAGGCTGAATTATATTGACAATATATATTTGATTTCAGTAAACTTTAAATTATCTTAATCAGAGAAAGAGGCATGGAGCAGTTAAGTGCCCATGCTAACCAAAACATAACAATTGTTGAATGTTGCACACAAAAAGAACCAAGTGAATTGCACATCAGACAATACATGAGGTTGGGTAAAATTAGAGGCAGGTGAGGGTACACAGAACTAGTCTACTAAACTAGATTCGTCAAATACATGGTGTATTTTAATTTCTGTACTTATGTACAAAAGTTGTCTTTGGAGGAAAAACTTCAGACTTAGCTAGATGGATACACACAGCCCAGTATTAAACTGCACAGCGACATTTATTGTTCCAGCCTGGAAAAACATCCCTTTTTAAATTTCACACAGCAAAGCAAGTTAAAAACTTCACTCATCAAATAAATGATAATTTAAACAAGAACTTGCTAAAGAAACCTTGTCACAACAACTTTTAGGGCCTGATCACTTTAAGTCCGTAGGGGCCTTTAATGAATATCAACCAAGTGTCTTTGTTTATAATCTGCAAGCCGTTTTTCTACAACAAGAAGGCGTAACACGTTTCCTTGACTCAGGTGATATATTTAGAAAAGAATCATGAGTTTCTCTTTTGCTGTAACAGGCAGACATTGCATTTTTCATTGTGATCAGGAAAGATGGAATGACTGCTGCCCTTCTCTTGCAGCTATCAAGAGTTTTTCACGCATTATCTCAATAGTTGAATAGTCCGGCAATTTGAGATAGTTCACACAAGTCATTACTGAGGGCAAGAAATCATCTGGATTCTCTGTAGACTCAAATGTCTTGCGTACAATTGTCAACGGAGGATTCAAACTTCGAAAGCCTAATAATGAGAAATGACATTCAGAATCAGGTTATTCCTCTTTAAAACCCAGAGTTCACACTGCAGACACCCAACAGCGACAGAAGCACGTGCCTCATAACTGACTTCATCTCAGTTTTTAAAAGCTTAGGATATGGATTTATAAGGCCAAGCTAAAAGTTACCTAAATTCCTTTCTGTAGATCCATTTTACAAGATGAATTAATAAAAGTAGTAAGCTAAATGCATCTACTTCCAGTTCTGTATTCTGAAGAACCCTCTTCTAATCACAGTGCTTTTAAGGGTCTGTTGGTTTCATACACACCTTTTAAGATTCTTAGAGATTATCTGACTGTCTTAACTTATTATTTTACTCTAGCTAAGGTTTTCATACTCCTAACCATCAATCCTTTCTGCACCATATCTTCCAGAAAGAGCTCTAATTTTTTTTCTTTAAAACAATCAACTCTCTCTTATAATGTCAATTCCTTAACTAGAAAAAAAAACACCAAACCCCAAAGAATGTAAGTAATGGAACAGATACATAAATTATGTTTTTACTTGCAAAGCGTTCAGCTGAGAATACAGTAAAATGTTTGTTCTATAATGGTCCCTAGCAAAGACAGCAAATCCCTCAGGTTTCCTCACTGCCTCTTATCTAAATTCTGAAATTCAAAAGGAGAAGAAATTAAAGTTTAATCACTATACTAGCATTGTCTCATTTCTAGAAAAAAAAAAAGTTTTCAGGTAGCAATGAATCATGTTGTTCTTGTCTTAACTTAAAGCAGCTCTAGTCAAGGAATACAGTATTAAGGGGTTTCCACTTTAAATTTTGAACTTTTTTTTGCCCTCCAGCAAAAACATCATGAGATTAACACAACGTTTGAGAATTCTACCTGAAGTCCACACAGCCACTGCCAAAGCTAGACATGTCAGACAAGTCTGAGCCTCTAAAATACACAGATAAATTATTTTTTTTCTATACTGAAATAATCAGTTTATTCTGAAATGCATTATTAATACTGCTTTTATATACAACAAAGTAGTAAACAAAACCTACCTCCTACAGGCAATCTGGGGCTACCTGTCACAAATTGAAGAAACAGTCTTTGCTGCTCACTATCAAAGCTACTGAGGATTTCAAAGAGATACTTCACTGCACGACTAAAGAGGGAAAGAAGCACGTTGTTATTGTTGACAGTTAAAATAAATTTCAGATTAATATTCAGTGCAATATGAATATTTTCAAATAAATTTAATACCGTTCTTTTAGCTTGAATTACCAAGTTAATTTAAATACGTATTTTCTAGTGCCAATATTTCTTTTAACACCAACACCACATTACCTGTCATGTGTATAACCGTGATCTGGCCTGCAACATTCCATTAAAGTCTTTGCATCCCATGTGTCCGTTTTACTGCCGCACAAGAGCTGCTCCAACTATAAAGTTAAAAAAAAAAAAGGAAACTTTCCCCTTTAGAACTTGAGGTAAAACGAGTACTTTCTGTTCTGACTACTATTACAGCATTCTACTTTATGGAAGAGCTTGCTACAGAACAATCTTGGTCACACCACGCAATTCTCAAACTCTGTTAATGCAATCGCCTCATCCCAGTGACAGCCTCATTTGCTGAATCTGCCTCTGCATACGATCCACTATCACATGATAAAAGAAAACTGAGCCATTAGTAAATAAATAACCACCAAACATAGAAATATAACATTTCAGTATGCAATTTAAAGGACACGACTTTTTATTAATATGATTCAGAAATGTAACATAATCAGACTGTCACAACTGCACTGCATGCAATGCACAGCTAGGTCAGACTGTCCATATGTACAGATATAAGATTATAAATACACTAGTAAAAACAAGTTTACCCACCTCCTCAGGGTAGAAGTACTGAAGATGACTGAGGGGGAAGACTGATTCGAATCCATCTCTGAACGAGTCAAATTGTCTGGCAACACCTTCATTTAGTGCCCAGAATATAACCAACTGCAGAGAAGAAAAAAAAAGTCAATTGAACAAAGGAAGCGTTGAAGCATCTCTAGTGTACTAAATACAACAGCTGCAGAAAAAAACTCTACAGAAGTCTGGCCATGTACTCACTCACAGAGTCTGACCTTTGATTCACAGAGCTGCTCTACAGCATTGCCTCTTTCTGCCTTAATTCATAAGCTCATATTGCTGCATGTGTCAAAGTGCAGTGCTGCTATAATGGAACAGACACAAGTTGTTGGGTTTACTCTTTACAGGTTTCTCACGTGGTCTGACATTGCAAATTAGCAGAAGTAATTTGTAGTTCAAACAAGCTCATATTTATAATATTCTAAGCATCCAACTTGTGTGTTTAAACAACTTGCCTTTATTTTTTGACAAAACAAGATTAATGCATGAAATTCAGAATAGCTGGTTAAACTGATCCTATTTAACAAAATATTTCAAAACAAACCAAACTTTTTTTTTCAGAAGTTTACCCTAGCTGTTCCCTCTGTACACTTGATACCTGTTTAAAACTCAGCAACTGGAATAGAAATCCTTAGGGTGTCATTGGCAGTATTATCTTAGTTTCCCCCATGGCAACATATGGGTCCCTTTTCTAATATAAAGTTACAAAAAGTAACTATATACTTTTTGTTATATTAACTGGATTAATATTATAAGAATACATGGGGGAAGGGGAAAAGCTACTTCATGTCATGTTAGTGGGATTTGGTAAGCATCATAAGGCAAAAGACAGCAGCAGTCTAAGGTTTTAAGGTGTGTGCTTTTTACGTTTTGTTTTAGTATCTGCAGTTACCCCCTCTCAGGATTAAACTCACCTTCCAAAGTGGACAGCACATGCTGGAACAATAATCACTGGGGAAGAGGGAAGGGGACATGACAAAATTTCTTTTAAATCCCCTGCAGTCAGCATTTCTCTACTAAATACATTACACAGGGCAGACTGCATGCCAAGTTCAGATTCTTTTGTCAGTTAGTGCCACTAGTGATTACACTTGCCTTGGCTACCCTCAGCTCTTGCAGGAAATGAAGGCTGCATGGAAAAGATGTGTTGTCAACACACAGCTACTAGTTTTTAAATGTGTTTGAAACTCTGACCTGAAATGCTGAGAAAAGCTTTGAAAGATATCTACAGATGCATTTGAATATGACTGAAAAATTCACTGATACTGGCTGGAATCCTGAAGCAAGTATTTCACCTTGTCCCAATAACTGAAGAATTATTTGTTCCAGAAAGCTCTCAGATGTGAAAGCCTGTTAGGTTCTGTGATAAAGCTTCCCTACAGAAGAATCAGGCATTGAATTTCAGGGAAGAGACATATCCCTGCTTTCACACATCAGGTTGTAATACTGAAGAGCAAGCTGGTAAGCATCAGCTGCACAGAAAGCTGCCCTACTGCATTTGATAACACACAATATTCTAGCAGCAGAGTTGCTGACTTAGAATTGTGATTACTTTTTATGACCAGCAGTGTGTGACAAAATCCAGCTGCACTGTATTGTTGTGGATTCAAAGAGGAGATCACATTGTTAAGTCAAAAAACTGTACTCCAGAAACTTTTTGTCTACAAATTTAGAAGATGGAAGTTGGCCTCTTTCTTTTTAGCACAGGAGAGAAAGGGGGAAAAGAAACTATAATAAAGTCTTTCACTATACTGGTAGCTGAAATAGTCCCACTTTCTGATAATGCTAGCTCCTGTGGAAACTGTCCTTAGGGAAAAAAAGGGAGGTGGAGAGTGGAATGACACGACTACAGGAGAGGCATGCAAAGGAACAGTAGGGTATTCTAGCTTTAGAAACTACTTTTAATGGTAATCCATACACAAGATTTTAATGAAAATGACATTTTCAAGAGCAGGGCAGCTGACATACAGAAACTTGTACAGGCCAGCTGATAAATTTAATACACGGTTTCTAAATTGTAATTCATCATACTTGTGATACAGAGGATCATAATTTTCTCTCTAAAACCTTTTCTATTTCCTTCACATCAAGTCTGCAATGCTAATCACTAGGATCTAGTTTAAAGACTCCTCTATATGCCAGGAATATAAAGACAAGGACAGAAAAACTGCATAGGTGTCCTTTGAAGAAAATAGTCCCTAAAGTTGCTTAGAAAGAAGCAGAAAGCAAGCTCTCTGTAGTTATCTGCTTTTCCTTTACAGTGCCAGAAGCAACAGGACAACTGCAGGACATCCGAGATATCTGCAAGCTTTTCTCAGCATATCGGATACCTGGTATGTGTTACCTAGAAGAGAATTAATTCCTCAGTAAATAGACTAAAAATGCTGTAACTTATTGTGCTGCTGGCATTCCCCATCTTTAAGTCTGCAAACAGCTTTATACCCGAATGTTTAATTTTATAAATGATTCCTGACCAGCAAAATATTTCAAGAAATAAAGAGATGACAAGTGGATATATATATGACAGCTTGAATCTGGAAGATGAAAAGCACCCGCTCAAGATTAAAGTCGTAAGGATTATGTAATAATTTTGTGAAGTTGTCAGTTGACATCCAGGAGCTGATATGCCCATTAACAAATAATTTCTACCAAAACATCACGTATGTTTCTTACCAGTGCTAGAAAATCTTAATCCTCAGTGAAACTGGCAGTAGACTAATCTCTCAGAAAATTGATTTAGGAAATGGAATAATGGCTTTTTCATTATGCAATCATTCTTTTCTCCATCCCCCTCATGACTTCATGCAACAGTAACTGGGTCCTTCCTTTGTTTCTCAACTCCCTTTCTAGGCTGTTTTTAAACTATTCCCTTTAGAAGTTTCTTATGTAGAAACAGTTTCCTACCTTTGTTCAGCACCATCACCCTTTTGTTTTTCAAGGTTTTTATGTCACCTCTGACATAGGAACAAATTAATATGTAGGAGTAATGTCAAATTATTGTGGCACTGTTTCATTCTCTGCTCCTTATCTATGTTTCTATGGTTTGGGAGTTCTGTTTGCTTGTTTTTGTGGGTTTTTTGTGTTTTGACCCAAAACTCAGCTGACATATTCTTTAGTCTGAATCAAAAAAACTTCACTATAGCAGTTCAAAGCTCACTGAAATGCCAGTACTACATCACTCGAAGACAATTTCATTATTATATGCAAATGTGGGAACATGTTGAAAGATTTTGAAAGTCCACACCTGAAATTACCTACTACAATATTTATCATCCAAAAAAAGGCACTTCTGACTACTTCATTATATATCAACAAGACTTGTTTGTACTATAAAATTTTCAAGTCAGGTGCACTGACTAGGATTCAAACAGTTTCTCTACAGTAATAAACTAGTACAGAACAGAAGCAATCAGTAGAAAAAAATATTGTTACACCCAGTTAATGAGAATGAACTGAAATAGGTATCAAAACAAACTTCCTGACAGAAAGTTAAGAAGAACAAAGAAAGCTTTAGTCCTAGCTTTGCTTTTACATACTCTGAGATACTCCTCTAAATTGTGGATGGTGACTGGTGTATCTTTTCCCCCTTTTTTCAGTTCTATGTTAGGAAACCCAGGAAGTGTGAAGTCCAGCCCTAGATCTTCCACTGAGCAGCCATTCATAGTCAGAGCCTCCAACGCATACTGTAGACTTTCTTTGGTCTAAAAAATTGGAAGCAAAAACCAGTGAGAACAATTCATTCACATCAACTTATCCAAATGTTATGACTTGCAAACCATTTTTTGCTAAGTAAACCCAGTTTTGTAAAAATATTACTACTATAGTTAGAGTACTCCTTGTTTTTCTTCTGTATTTTTCATAGTTAACAGTAAACCAAGACAAACCAAATAAACTATCTTAATAGAAAAACTTGCAAGATAGCAACACTTGACTTTTTCTAGCAATTTTGTAATTATTTTATTTTGATGTATATGGGGAAGGACTTTTTACCAGGATGTGTAGTGATAGGATGAGGGGTAACAGATTTACACTGGAAGAGGGTAGATTTAGGTTAGACATTAGAAATAAAAGTTCTTTACTGTGAGGGTGGTGAGACACTGGAACAGGTTGCCCAAGGAGACTGTGGAAGCCCCATCCCTGTTCAAGGTCAGATTGGATGGGGCTTTGAGCAACCTGGTCTAGTAGAAGGTGTTCCTGTCCTTGAAGGGGAATGGTTGGAACTAGATGATCTTCTAGGTCTCTTCCAACCCAAACTATTCTATGATTTTATTATTTATTGTGAAAATACTCCTGCAAGAAAAGGAGATGTGTACTATGCTAAGGCTCTTAGGCTATGTTTTCTTCCTTAGAACAGTTAATGGCATTCATATTTGGTGTGCATACTGACATTTTTCAGCTTTCATCCATGAGGTTTCAGGTTTTTCAGACTCTTGTTGGGAAATTAAAAGCGGTGATCAAGGAGAGAGAGAAAGTGAGACAGTGAAGTGAAGAGGAAAAAGGCCCACAAGTTTGCAATAACTTCACTAGTAATAAAGCAGATGTATTAAGCGTATGAATTAGGTTATTACCACCTACCATCTATTAACATTGGATGCTAGAAAGAGCATGCATGCCAAAGGCCTTTTATCGCTACTCTGCAACAGTGAACACTACTATTTTTAGATAAGAGCTGATAACCTTGAAAAAATTAAGACTCTTCTGTCTCACAAATTAAGCCAGTTCATACCAGTTCTGCATATGTTTTTCAGTGAGGGAGGAAAAAACCCACAAAAGGCACTCCTAAGAAAACACAGAACTTTTACTAAACCAATAAAAAAGCCAAGCTTTTTAAATGTTCAAAAATCAAATCTCCCCACCTTCTGATATTACAGTAAATTAGTCTTTTCAGGGTGAACCAAAAAGAGAAGTTATCTTAGGCCAACATCTGACAGTTTTAGCCATTATTAGCCTGGTAATCACATAGAAGAAACCTATAATAAATTTCTAATGTTAAGAGTCTGCATTAGAATAAGACAGTGTTATAATTACTAGCCAACGATTTAACAACATTAAAACTACTCCTTTTATTAGAATGAAGATATTTTCACTGTCACCCATCAGTATTAAGCACTATCACACACTCTCAATAACAGCTACTTCATAAAATCCAAACATGTGAAGATGCACCTCTTCCATTCATAGGGTTATTTTCCCACCTGTGTTTTGTCCTGTTCAAGTCTCTTCTTTTGTCTTACAATATCTTCAAGGTGATATATTGATTTGGCTACTACTGGATCAATACTGAACAAGTCATGCGACGTCAAGGATGTTTCCTGTCGTAACATCCATTTATAAAAAGGAAGTCCAAGAGGAAGGTCCACCTGGAAATCGAAACTTTGTTTAGTATTGAACTGTCTTCCAAAACTGTATCTTTCACCATTTTATCTCTTGACTAGATCTAAAATACTTTTTACCCATGCATAGTTCTAGCCCACACCAGAACATCATGTTTGACCCCTTTTACCTGAAAAACTGAGTCAAGAAAAGATAACTGACTGCCTGAGTACTGCAAGTACATTATATACCATTGGCAAGCTAGCAGCTGTAATAAGCCTAAAATGATCTTTGAAAGACTGGAGAGAGGTGGCAATATATGACAGGCAACAGTCTCAAAAGCCACTGTTAACATCTTTCCCTCTCAAAAGCTCAGCTGCATCTCCCCCACCACACCTAAACTACTAGAGCTGAAAATAATTCCATGCAACTCTTATATTTTTCCCCAACATAGTCAAAACTAGAATTTTAATTTAATCCTTCAGAATAACATTTTCCATTTTATTCTCACCAGTCTAAAATCCATGATTGCCTTGGCCATCAGTTTTCCTAGAAAGCGGAACTTCATTTTAACTTTTGCAATGTGAGCTGGCTTGGCTGTTCTACCAAAAGGAAGTGCAAAAAGGCCTTGAAGGTTATGGATGTACTTGGTACCTTCCTGGCTTCCTGTTAAGGAAGAAAAACAGTTCAATACATATACTGCTATTTTCATTCCAGACCCAAGTTTGAAAGCGGCTATCAGATAACCATAACCTAAAGCTTCTTATAAAATTAAAGGAAAACCACAAAGATAATCACACACAATCACAAGGCACATTATCTGACCACAAACTGAGGTGGTCTTTCCATCAAAGCCATTCATTAAAGTCAACTTAGAATCAATTGAATATTAGATCAATATTAATAGTTTAGGTAGCAAAACATTTACCTTTTGGATTGGCTAAAGTCACTTCTTCTCCCCTCCAAAGGCCTAAGTCTGCTCTCTGTAGCTCCTGAGATACAAGTGCATAGAACTCTAGCGTGGGGCCTAGGCCTGTGCCAACCTTCAGAGGGAGGGAGAGTGCAGGGAAAGGAGGAGTGAGATATGTAAATAAATTAGTCCATTAGGTCAGTTTTACTATCAAAACACTTAAGACTAAGAACTATAGTACATTATTGGCTATAAAGAAGACTGCACTGCAAAAAGTGTCTAGAGAACCTAACTACGCCAACACTTACAATATAATTGAGACAGCTTGGAAACACCACGTATCAGAGGGAATAATAGTGGAATAGAAGTATTAGCCACCAAATGATCATATTATAGAAGAAACACACACAGCTGTTCACTTGAGTTAGAAAAGCATGTGCTCTGCAGAATAAGACAGATTATGAAATCTGGTAGATCAGAAAAACTTTCTCCTAGCAACTAAAAAACACAAACAAGTATGCTAAGGATAATAAATGGATACAATTTAGTGGGACCAGCGATAGAAGGACCAAGAGACTGCCCAAGTCATTCTATTAAAGGGGTAGCTTTTTTTGTATTAATCTTCAGTAAAAAAAAGGAGTTAAATTAGAATGCATTGATATTACTTACTTCATTCTCATACTGGATTTCCAACATGGCTCTTGAACTGCCTAGATCCTGCATCACAGATTCTGCCTGTTTCAACAGCTCATCTCTGTTCACAGTGCGCTGCACATTAAAGAAGTTTTAAGTAGTGAAATTATGTCTTTAAGTCCCAGCTTCCAAGGCAGTTACAACAGGAACATACTAGTTATGCAGTTATTCCACCCCATGCTAATATAGTTTCAGTCAACGGTTTGTAAGCTTACATGTAAATAATTGTTGCTTCTATATAAAAACAGATGAGAATTGAAGTGTTCAATACAAAATGAAAAATCAATGCCTTACATTTCTATCAGTACAACTAGTAGGTACTACTCTTGCCAAGAATCTAGCAGTCGGACTATAATGTAGAAGAGAAGCATTGTTATGTGATACACCTTAAACTAACATGAAGATGAAAACAGAATAGAGATTTCAAAACCCTCCAGACTAAAGGAATTCTCTTACACCCTGTCACTGCAGATTCACTAGTAAGGCAAGTAGCAGGTTTCAAAGAACAAAACAAAACAAAAACACCCAACAAAGCAAAAAACAACAGCACTGGAATTTCTGCATGCTGGAAGCTCTATTCTAGTTGAACTAGGTTTTCATATCTCATGTCTTTTTTCCCCAGAGATATTCAAGATCATAGAGCACATCTATGCTATACAGCAGATGTTAGTTTAAGATAATCTCTCTCCAGGCTCAAGAAGACACACAAGACTCCATCAATTTGAAACAGTCACAGCTCAGTTTTATTATATGGCAACAGGAGTTTTAATACTCTCTCAGAATACATGGACAATGATTTATTTAGGTAAAATGGGTCTAAATCTTATTGCTTAAATAATTCTGAAATTCTACATAAAGCAAAATGGAGGTTTACAAGGTAATACAAGGAGATATTGCCAGCGTAACCAAAAACTTCAAGTTGCTTCTTGGGGCATAGTTTCTGTAAAGGCTCCAGTTCAGAATTAAGCAGGAAGTGACCAAGCAGTGTAACATACTCTAACCCCTTCTGCCACCTACTGGCAGACACCGAGAAGACATTGTCCTCTCGGGGGCTTTAAATTAAAACAAACCTCCCCTTCATCGGTATACTACTAAAACCTGAAGTTTTACCAATAAAACTTGCTGACAGTGGTATTCTTAATAACAATATAAAAACACACAGATAATTCATTCAATTTTTAAAGCAAGATATACCTACTTTTTTCCTGTCCAGTCGTGGTGCTACTCTGCTATCCTGAGAATCTGATTGATTGATTTCTGGATTAGTATCCAGTAGTCTTTGCATGGCTCGATCACGATCAAAAGCAGTTACATAAAACAGCATTTGACGGGTATCAAATGGAAAGAAAAATGGGCTGTAAAGAGCATTGGATTAGTTAACTGTGTTTCAACTAGCATCTATGACTATAGTTGTATTTTAAAACACAATAGAATTGCAGTATACCCAAAATTAGTGCTTTATTAAACACTGTGGTGAGAGCAGCCTCCAAAGGAAGCCTTCCCAAACACACCTTAGTTTCAGATACAATGCTTATGAGCAAGAGTCTAAAGATGGAATTTCATGTAAGAAGGAACCACAACCAATTCTAGAAACTTCTAACTCTTCCAGAAAAACAACTCAGAATACTTGAATGCTCAGCTATTCAGTTTGTATCAGAAAAGTACTCTTACTTGTTCACATGTTTTACAACTTAGATCAGTGATATTAAGAGGGTGGGTCAAGTTGTCATATTTGAGGGGCAAGGGGAGGAGTGAACCGGGAACCTACAGCAGCACCATTCTATCTTTCACCATTTTCAAAAAACACTAAATCAAAGACTACCAGAGAAACTTCTTGTTTTAGCTAATCAGTTCTACTACTCAAAGTCATGTACGCTAGCAGTGTAGTATTCCACTGACATTTAAGTGAAAAGGCAGTTTTACAGAACAAATACTGCTACAGATGTTTGTATAAGAATATATATTTATACTCATCATTTGTTCTATGGAATGCTTATGAAGAAATTGAGGTTTTTTAAAAAATTAAAATCAACTAGCTTCTCTAGAGTACACATTTACAGTCAATTGTCACCAACATTGCTTCAATTAACATGCTTGAAAAATCCAAAATTTCTTATTCTTTTAAGTGTAAGATTTACAGCTTATACTCTGCATCAAGATACTACAAAGTATTCCTAATACAGGCTTATTAACTTTATAATATTTGATCAGTAATGATAAGTATTTTCCTTCATACCATATTGAATATGCTAAATGAGGTTGTTTGACAAAACTGTCACTGAGCACTTTAAAAGGAGAAAAAAATCACCTGAATAATCAAGTACTATTATATCAATGTGAGAACTTCAAATTGCTCAGAAATTCCTGTAAGAAGTGGTCCAAACTTTGCAGCTAGTCTCTCTCTCCATATTTGGCTTAAACCATGCCATATAGTCGTAAACATTCACCCCGGTGTCTATGTAACTCAGACACTGGTGACTACATCTTACTCTCCCCCAGCACTTCCAAAAGCCTGGCAACGTATGATTCACCTGGGCTGCCCAGCTGAGGCCTAGTGAACTCAAATTAGAAATAGAATATGGCAAGTCATTCATACCATGTTTTTCCAAGTTCTGTCAGCCAAGTTGGTATGTTTCCTGTCATAATTACCAAAGGATCTTGAAGCTGCCTGTTTGCTTTTGCTGTCAGTTTACTGTTGATAAACTCTGAGGTTGGAATTATCTCCTTGCAGATTGCATTCTGTGTTAAATAAAAACAACATACTCATAGTTAAAGAAATGCTGGAAGAATTACCAAGCCTTGGTTAAGAGGCTTTTTTTATGCTTCTAATTTGCTTACCATCACAAGAAAACAAACTTCCATTGTCACTTTGGTAATACAGAGTCTAAGCTATGAAAGAAAGACTGAGCAGATTTTTACCATCCATTTTCTTTTCAGGAACAATGTTAGTCTTTGAACTTAAGAAAGGAAAAAGCATGGAAAACATGTTTAACATGCTATAGAGGAAATATGTTAGACAGAATTTATAACTTTCATCTTACCAGAAGTTAGATAAATACATAGGGGAAGATGATGGCATTTATATTATTTTGTCTTAGTGGGGGGTGGCAGACAGAGGAAGAAAGCTACTTTAAGGTGTCTGAGGACAGTTGTCTATATCAAATATGGAAGTGATTTTAAAAGTGCTCTACTCACATCATACAAGTAATACCAGTATCGACTGATAGCATGTAGAACTCTCAAAAGAAGAATAACATCTAATGAGGGATCTTCAAATGTTATGTTTTCAGGTGGAACTGATATGAGGTAAACTTCTAGAGGATTTAATACAGAAGGGCATACACCATCTAGCAAAAAAAAATAATGTTATCAAAACAAATAAATTAGAAGTCTTCTTCAGAAGTAATTATTAGGAGTCTAGCAAGTATTAGTCACAGCATTCACTTAACTACAACAGTTTAGTCAGACATTTCAGTAACTATTTTTAGTTCCAATACACATATTAATATATGCTTTTCTTATACTATGCTTGCTTTAGAAGAAATACTGGTGTCTCTAAAGACGACTCCTCCCCATCCTTTCAGAAATTTCACAAATCTAACGTATTAGCAAGGCAACACACTCACCATGCCACAATTCATCATGCTTTTTAGAATTTCTAGGGGAGGTTTTCGTGGGAGCAGTTTGTGCTCTTCCTCTTTTACCACCAACACAGTCCTTACTACCATCTTCATCCTCTCTTACAGGTTTGTACCTAAAAAGCAAAGAGAAGTTAAAAACGTGTTTGTGAAGTGCTACTTACACGGAAATAAAAGCAGTTATAAAAGTTTTAGCTGTTTGATTACCAGAATTTCACTTGAATGACAGTTAAAAGCAGAAAGACAAGAACAATGCATTTGGGTATGATCCAGCCTTGGAAGCCAGGCCCTCAGAAGCAAAGTATGGTCATGAGGGGGAAAAAAATGGAGACACTCTGGCTCCGTGAACTGGAAAGAGAAGCAAAAGGTATAGACAAAAACACAAAGTGGGTTGTTTGTTTTTTGGGTTTGTTTGGTGGGTTTTTTTATTGTTTTGTTGTTGGGGGGGGGTGAAGTTTGTTTTGTTTTTCTTTTGCATAACATATTTAAATACTAGAAAGAATAAGAACTGCTGAACATTAAAATGTTTGGTACAATCACAGGTATATACTGCTCCTTGCTAAGTATGGCCAGAGAATACACTTGCACAGCAATTAACTGTGAAAACCAGTAGAAGCTGATCATAATTTGTAGACTGCAGGCACATTCTCTATTGTTTGTGCTTAGCTACCTAACACTCAATTATTTCCCTCTATCTAGCAGGTGTCATTTAAGATAACCCCACTTCTTTTTCATTACCTTTGCTCATAAGCTAGCAAGAACATCAGTAGCTAACAGTGAATTCACACTAAGATTTCCAAATCTCAAGCATATCAGCAAATTCAAAGTTTCACAGCTTTGAAAGTGTGGGAAAGAAAAAAATATAAAAAGGTATATAACCATTTTCTTTCTGTATATATATATCTAGGAAACTGGAGAAGTTGCACCCCAGTTTCTCTAGCCAACTTACCAAATAGTATGAGTCTTTGTCCAAATCCCAGCTCTTCCCAATGGGTTGCTTTCATCATCTGTAGACTCCCTCTCCTCCTCGGCTTGCAAACTGTACTGCCGAACTGCCTGATACACAGTCATATTGTATGGCAGCAAGTGATCTCCAATGTAAAACTGCAGTCTGTGTCTCACATTCCCTGAATTTAAGAACTGAGCAGCCTGGTCAAAACAAAAAATTCACAAAAGTTGGGAATCTTGCTGCTAGCTTTTCCTTAAGACCGTCCCCCCTTAACCTCAGAGCAAAAGCTTACCAAAGACTCATCTATTTCTTCATCTGAGCCATCATCATCACTATCCTCATCATCTTCTCTAACTCTTCCATAACCTGAGGCAAGAGAAGAAAGACATCCTCATTTGTTTTTACAGAAGACATAGCAATGCTTTTCTACTGACTTTCATGAAGCCCACTGTTTAAATCAGTTTCAAAACACATCAAAAAAAAAACAAAACAGTAAGGTTCACACGTTAGAACAAATTTCAGTATCAGTATTTGGCATAAGAATGCCAAGTGACTGTCAGATTGGCTGTAAACTAAATTAAACTTCTGTTGGCATTCAGACTGAACTGCTTACAGGAAGGAATTTGTCCCTGAAAATATTTTCTGCAGCCTTAGTCTCCTCCCCTGTAAGCTAGATACATAAGCACCTCCCATTTGTCTTCAACATAATCCTCACAGGTTTTTACAGAATCTGTATGACTGACAGTACTGGTCATCCTGTGAAGCAAGACATATGTGACTGTATAATATATATAAATACATATATACCTCTAACTACAAGGTATCTTTCAATGGCTTGTACCAAAGCAAGAGGATCAATCTTCACAGGTCCACCCTTCCACTGTTTGACATTAGCACAATCTGGATGTCTTTGCAGTTGGCATTTTAGTTGATGCGTATTGAAGAATTTTAAAGCTTGGGATCCTCTGTTAAGAGAAAAACTCAAAATAATTTGTGAAAAAAGTTGCTACACAAAGAATCTAATAATAATACTTGCATTTTAACGTGCATTAAAATAAGTTAATCCATGCATTTACACATTTATTTGTTCAGAGTATTATTTCTCATCTTATTTCTCTAAAATAAGCTAGTAAATTTGGATAATTAGATTAAAAAATGTATTCTAAAAGAACATCAGAATCCAAGCTGAACAAAATCTGATTTCGAATGGAAGCTAGACAGATTAAGTCCTGTCTGAGGTCTGATTACAAGATGGTCTATACTGACCACCTTTGAGATTTGAAGTTGTTCAGTGGTCAACTGATGCCACATGAGATTTAGAGCTGTGTTTACCTGCAGAGCAATAAGGATCAGAATCAGGGGTGAAAAATACAATTATCTATTCATGTTTTCTAATAAGGACCTAAACAGAAAACCTGGAAGCTTCTCTGTTCCCTTGCCCACTATAGTTTACATACATGTTTCATCATACTAAATTATCAATAATCAAGCTAGCCATTTTTACACACAAACCTTTTATCTTGGGCTGCTTCTGTTTCTAGGTGCTAGTGAAAGACTAACAAATCCTTATGCCTCTAAATCCTCACTGACATAATCCACAATAAGACCAGCAGTCAAACAATGCTGCTGTTGTCTGACCTCCCATGTTTAATTTCCTATCAAGATTAATAGCAGTACTTAATTTCTATGATTAGCAGCTTTATTAATTCTGTCATTTCCCACTTTTTACAGAAATAATGCATATTAGCAACTATGTTAAGATCACAGAGCACATACTACTTGCAAAGGCCAGTATCAAAACAACTGATTCTTTTTAATATTAGGAATCTGCATATTGCATTCCTTTCCATTAATTTTAAGTTTCACAAAAAAGTATTAATTTTCATGTAAGTTAAATGAATGCTGTACTTTAAGGCTCTAACACATTTACTATAATGTTGTACCACAATTACGTAAGTCACCTAATATATAAGTCACGTTATATTACTGTCTGAGAGACAGAATATTCTGACATTTCCAGCTTTAAACAATAGCTTTCAAAAATTTCTTTTCAGTGCTTCTCCCCCCTCCTAATTTCTACATAGTCACAAGACTGTCTATAATCAATCTGAGCTTTCGGCCTGCAACACAAAATACTTTAAAAATGTGTAAGTAACTTATGCTGAAAGTCTTACTAACTGCTATAGATTGAATGAAATATCACTGATTTATTGAAGCACAGAACAAAAGTTTTAGAAAGGTCTTCAGTCCCCCAACTTTATTACTTAAAATGCAAATCAGTTGGATTCCAATCTATTTTAAGACACAAGGCAGTTCTACAGTTATTTTAAACTATATTTACAGCCAACAGTTACACTCAAACCATTATGATCCTAGAGAAGAGAACCTATCTGAATAACAAAGTTTAATGCTGTAATACAAAGTCTTAGTAGCTAAATAAGTTCACTAAAAAAATATCAGTGTTTCAGCAATAGACAGATTGTTTCCAGTGTTTGCTGCATGGGGACAAGGACACTTGAATTTTTAAAGCTTAAATTTAGATACTGCATTTAAAATTACACATTCACCTTCAATTTAAGTGAGAGAAGTCTCAAAGAGGTAAGTAAACATTCAGTTAAATATTCAATCTTCCATAAAAAAGCCAATTATGTAATTGCTTTTGTCTTTAAGAAGTTCCCATTACCTCTTGGTACTATGAGCATTGGAATAAGTTTTGGAAAACAAAAGCTTCTAACATAACTGTTACCTGAGCATTAATCCTTACCTGCTCCCTGTTCCATTTCCACTAGGGAAATCATGAACTTTGACAGGAAACTGTTCCATCTGACTGAGGCAATTATTCATTTTATGGACTAATGCCAACAAAGGTGCATTTTCTAATGGCTCTAATCTTCCAAGGGGTTCTTCTCCAGGAAGCTGAAATATATTCCAATCTTTTAGATATGTGCTTGAATTAATCCATCTTAAATAATTTATACCACAAGTTGTTTAAAAAACCCAGACAACACAGAAATTAAGAATTGCTCTTCTCACTCTGAAGTAGCAACAGTATCAGGATTAGATAGCACCGAAGTTTATCAAAGACCTGTTTCAGTTAACACACTTTCCTCTCCTAGTTTCAACTGAATAACCCTACAGATTTTAAGCACACACTCAAACATGAGCAGTAAGTTTCATGGACGCTGTATCCTCTCTTCCACTTTACACTTCTTTTTTAAAAAACAGGACAATCTAATTTCTTGCAGCATTCAGGACAAAAGAGAGCAAATGTTAAGATCACTAGCCAAACTCTTTCCATTTCAATTTATTAGAAGTCAAGAACAACTTAAGATGTTGAAGACTCAGACAATTTTCCATTTTGGAATTTTCACCACTGCTGTGTGGACTTCTCTGTAGATACAAAAAAAATTCTAAGAAGTTTGACTTGTACAAAACATGTAATGAGGTGAAAGTTGCAGTGTTATACAGCATAGAACACTCCCGTACTCCATCTTTAAGTCAAGGCCACTATCGAACCTCTCAAATGGTCAGGTAAGCATAATTCGAGAGAAAGACAATCAAGAATAACAAAACAATAAACAAGAAAACTTACTGGAGAAGAAAAAAATACATGAAGAAATCTTTTCAATCTGATATCCCTGCTTACAGCATCTTTCTCACTTTTAGATGTCAAATAAAGCAGCAGTTGTTTAACAAACCCACTATGCTGGATTTCAAATGAGGAGACGTCAGACTCCGAGACAATGCTACGGATTTCTACAAGGCACTCTGTCCCACCATCCACCTGAAAAGTATGAAGGCAGTATTTTACTACCCAGCTGCTAAGGGATTAAGAAATACCATTTTTGCTCCTACTGCATGGAACAGCTTTAAAGGGAGGGGAAAGAAGGGCGAGTCTGGAGTATAGAGTAACTCAGTACAAGCAATAACAAGGCAAATAATCTGAGGCTCAGCAATTTCTCTGTTCAAGAGGAGACATTACAGGTAACATCTACATTTGTCCTGTTTACAAGAAACACGAGGTCCCATTTCTGTTTCATCCACTGTAAAAATGAAGATTTTAAAATAAATTTAAAAACACCATAGCGTCAGATTGGTATATATTTTACATTATACATGTGTGGGAGAGAGGAGGGGGGAAGATTCATATTTTATTTATTGCTTAGTTAAAACTCAAATGTTCAGCTACTTTAGAATTTACAGGTTTAGATCATCTATCAAGGTTCACAACTGCCTGAGAAGCAAGCTTCAAGTTCTTGAGATGCTAATAAATGGTTCCAATGTGTATTTCTTCCATCCTTTCAACAAATGGCTACTTCCCTCTTATCCTCTCACCCCACCGTCCCCTAAGTTCTTATTACAAACTGTGTTATTTAAGTATAAAGTCAATCCCTAACACTTACTGTAGAATATTAAAATTTGAAATAAAATGCTATGTAAATGACACACTGCTAGGAATCAAGAATACCCTTGCTAATACTAGTCATTTATCATAAGGGGTAGTGTGAAAGCTTACATACTAAGTCCAAGAAAAAATTCCAAGCAATCTGTTCCAAGTTAAGAAACACTACATCATCCTTTAACAAAAAGTGTGTTTAAAATATTGGTCATGCTCTCCAAAATCATCAGCTTTCCTCTAGCTTCCTCCTAAACACTTCTACTGCTTTCATTCCCACCTCCACTCCAAGTAAATTTTCCATTTCTAACCTGGAGGTTGAGTTGTTCAGTTGCAGTGCAAAGTCTCTGTAAAACATTTAGTGCAGGATTGCTTCCATCCATGTTTTCAGAACTAAAATAACGTTCAACAAATTTATGGGCTTGCTCCTTAATCCAGCCCTTAATTTTTTCTCTGTAAAGAAGCACAGAAAAGGCATTTGGCCACACCAAACATTTGCATACTAAATATTACAAGTAAATGCAGCCGAAGTATCATTTTCCTCATGTTAAACAGTCACACACAAAACCCCTTCCCTCTTATGCCAACACAGTAAAGGTCTATTCTCCACAGATTACTTGCACCATTTCCCAAGGATGCTGTTTCATTAAGAGGTTATTTTCTCTACCTTAATTTTTTAATTCTTCCAGTTATTTTAAGTGGTTAACTTCAAATTTCTTCAACAGATGCTCCTCAATGGCTTATCATAAGAAAGTAGCTGCACCTCAAATTCAACACCATATTAATATTTTTTTGTTTTTTGTCTATGTACCTGTTATTGGAAATTGTATCCTTGGAAGCAGCCCTTGCAAGACCACTTACTCCTGCTGTTCGTGCTGGTTCAATATTGTTACTGTTGGACTGTGTGCTTAATCTTCCCCATGTTTTAGGATTTAAACTTGCCAAGAAGGAAGATTTAGGAGATTGGGTAGTTGTAGGGCTTTTAGCTGGGGGAAGCAAAGACAAAATTAAAAGAAATCAACAGGTTTATTATAGCTAGCACTCCTGACAGCCTATAAGCTTACTTTTAAATTTAAAATAAGACAGAGGATCTCACTTTAAGAACTGCTTACCTTGATTGTCTACTTTGTCATCATCTCTTGGAGGCGAGTATTTTGGTCTCCTTGGCCCTCGTTTTGGCAGTCTTTTTCTCTTTAAAACATCACTCAGTCGTCTGTTCAAATTTAAACACAAACTAACATGTTTCCATCCATTGGATTCATATGAATACCCATCCCTCAGCTTAAGATGCATCTGCCAGCTATTTCCTCAAGAATTAAAAAAAGGTTCCATCCCATAACAAAGAGTCCATAAGGAATGAACGAGCTCTCAGAGAAGGAGCCCCAATTTCATTTTAGTTGGAAGGACAAAGTGACTACTCCATCCCAAAGGAAGGGGTTTGCCTGCTGTCACATTTCTACAATGGGTAGCTAAATGCAACCAGAAGTTCTGCTGATTCAAGGCAGATTAAATTTTCATAGGTTTATTTGTGTAGCCATCTGCTCATTCATACACTTAGAAAAACCAACCAAACAAACACCACAAATCTCTACTAAATAAATACTAAGAGACACTGGCTACTTGACCTGCTTCCCCTATTAAAGCCCAGAAAGCACTTTTTCAACTATTTATGGAGTCTCTACGCACCAAACCCTACACTTAACAAGTTCACATATTTCAATTCTGGTTTAAGGTGAGTTTCCTTATTATGCCAATACATTAAGACAGACATTTCACCTTTAAATAAAGGCAAACTGTCTAACAGTAAAATAACTCCAGAGATACCAGTTCTACAAGTGTTCAGAATGGATGCATTCCAATACAAGAACCTAAGGATAACTTCTCTTTCCTTCAGTCCACAGCAGAAAGTAACCATGCACCATAGCTATGAATGCTCTCAAAGAAACACTTGGTCCTCAAGAGTTACATGAGACTACAGCTCTTGCTCTTGGCATTCTCCACTCCCTCCTCAAACAGCATGAATTTGTTTCCTATTACGACATTGTAACTACCAGGTCACCAGTCTTTGCTTTTTCTTTATAAAAAACATTTTGTATAAAATGAAACAAAACTATCCACTGATAGCTTCCAACACCATTTTAGGTCCTTAGAAGAAACTAACACAGCAAAAAGCCAATGATACTGTAGCAGCTCATGTCAGTCAAAATGTAAAAAAAACAAAACAAAAAAAACCCCCACAAAATCTAAACAAACAAAAAAACACAGCACAAATAAAATGCCACACATGGCTCACAACAAATAGGGCACTTACCCCTGTGGGCTCAGATCCAAAGAATCCTCCCGGCTGTGTTGTAAGCTGGGAGAGCCCAAATCAGCAGCTGCATTACTGGCAGCAGTGGCTGTTCCAGTACTTATTGTTGTAGTGGCACCCAGTGTTCCTGATCCGTTAGTGCACACTTTTGGTGGGCTGGTTAGCAAAGCTTCAGACTCTGCTAAGTTTTTCACTTGGTGCATCACCCCTTAGCAAAAGAAGAAATCTTTGTTGTGTGGATTGGGTTGGTTGGGAGTGGATAGGGGGGCTGGGAGAGGGAGTAGGGACAGAGGTGTTTGAAAAGGTAGAAGTCTTATTAGAATCTCTCTTTTGACTATGACAGCACTGGCTCACCCCACCCATCAATAGTAAGTTTAAAAAAAAAAAAAAATGTTAAACCCTCTCCTGAAAAAGTTTAGGAAAAAAAAAAAGCAGGACAAACGCTAGCTAAAAAAAAAACCCAAAACTCCACAGTAGATTTTAACAGAGTTGCTGCCCAAGATTAATCAGTTTTTTTCCAGTAAGATTACCCATGTAACTTCAAAAAGCCACCCTCAGCCTCACCGCAAGTTCACTAGTATCTAGTAAGCTTATACAAGCTTGTTTCAGGTTCAGAAAAAACAAGCTTGTCTCCTCTGAGTCTTGGTCAGCTCCTCCCCAGTCATATGACAACAGCTTGCATGAATTTGCCTTCTTTACTTAAGAACTAATATTAACTTCTTACAGCTTGGAAGGGATGGAGTATGGGATAAAGGATATGGATTTGCCACACCCATGCACTTTTATAATACTAAGTAAGAAGGTGCAGACGAAGAAAAAAAAGCAAGATTTACCTTCTCTCCTGAAGTAAACACTAAAAATGTCAGGTAACTTTTGCATTAAAATCTCTGCCATCTGCAGGGCTCCAACTACTATCTTAAGGTCTTGACTTGACAGCATGGAGGCAATATGACTAAAACAGATAATTTATTAGAATTAGGTTTGTCTTTTCAATTTTGTTCTTTACATAAAAAAATCAAGACAGTTCATCTTGCACATATAGTACTGGAGGACTAAAAGCAAGCAAATCTAATTGTACTTTTTGTAAAAGCTACAGGACTGAAAAAGGCTTCTTACTGCCTAAATCATTTTTACCAAGTTTTAACACATGACATAAAGGAGAGTTTTCTTCCTTTAAAGAACATGGTGGTGTGAAACTTTGTGCTGTTTTTGAAAAACTGGTCACTTTATTTTTTAACTGCATTATTTTAACTAGATTCCTACCTCATGGTATTTCATGTAGGAGAGGTTTCATTAATAGAACTTAGCAGCTGAACGCCATGAGAGTCTTATTCACCCTGTTATTACCTCCAAAGTCATCTTACCCTCAGAAGAGTTTATAGGTAAACATCAAGACATCAAGAGAACAGTAAATGGCAATACTAGTCATTGCTAGTACACATAGCCACATAGGCAACCTAAGTTGCTTAGAGTTGGCACCTACTGCAAAACCTAAGATGCAAAAAAATCCTGAAGAACTGGCAGCCTCAGCTTTTAGAAAAAAAACATTTAAGAATTTGAAAGTACAATTTTCCCCTGAAATAAATTCATTGAAAAACACAATCACAAGTTTGAGTTGTAGGCTCAAAATTTTCATTTGCAGTGGTCAACAAACCCACCTTGAAACAGCATGGTTTTTCAACACATCCTTTAGAAGTTCAGCGTCAGCAAAATAAATTATCCTAAGAATTGCTCTAAGGCACTTGTGTCTAACAGCAGGTCCAGCTGAAGAACTATACACTTCATAAAGAACACCAAACAATGTTTTGATAAAGGATTTTGCCAGTTCTGGGTCCTCTTTCATTAGTTGTGCTCGAGCATCATCCTTCTTCAGTTCTGAATGTCCACCTATGAGAAATTGTGCAACAAATAACTGTATAGGTTTTTGCATCTTTGCTTTGATAATTACTTTCTTTTTCTAATGCTGAATTAGTTTAGCTCTTAAATTGAAAGGTGTAACTTAAGAACCAGAAGTCAAACCTATGGCAAGAAAGTATGTACAAATTCCCCTCTTTCAAGGGGTTATTTTTTTTTCTTCAGTTTTCTTACATATTTCCATAAGCCAGCAAAAAGTTGTCACACAGCCTTTGTTGAGTAAGAGCTGTATGAACAAAATTGTTTCAGAAAATTCTAAACCAGGAACACCTCTAGCTCCCCTCTCAATTTAATGCATTTTCAGTTCCCAAGAAAAGAGTTCACATGTTAAAAAGAATACATTCAGCAGTGTAAATTTTGTTGTAATGCTGTCTTCAGTCACATAAATCAGAATAGTTCGATGTTCCACATAAACCACAAGAAATGTATTAGCTGAGTAGCAGACTGTTGTATAACCCAGCTTAAGTTAGCCACAGACAGACACCAGGTGTCTCCTAAGCTGTACTTACTAGTGTTTGTATTGGCTAAAGGGTTTGGTTTTCGCTGAATGGCACGTGCTGTTCCAGTATCCTCATTTATTTGCTGCATAGAGTTAAAATCAATAGTATAGACACGCCCAAGCGTAGACAGGCTTATCTCATCCTCACCAACCTGATGAGCTGCCTAAAAACAAGAAAGGGTTTAGAGTTAAGAAATCCCTAACAAATAGGAAACTACATGAAAGCTGATGAGAGGGACAGTCAGAAAAACAATGACTGACAGAAATACAGTAAGAAGAGTAATTAAGCAATTCACCCATTACTGAATACCAACATGGTGTAATATTACAGCAGGAGGACTGAGGAAACTCATGTTTCTTACTCAAAGAACAAGGCTGATATTTTCAAAACCATAAAGAAAGAACTCAATTCCCTAGAAAACCACAGATATACTTAAAAAAAACATCACCACACATGTGTGTGTGATTACTACCTCTATTATTCGACTATCAATCCTGTTATAGGGATGCCAGAGACCCCTGTCATCTCGCCATTGCCATATTGCACCATCTGTATTTTGCGCATTTCCTTTCTTTAGCATAGTATCAACAGCAAAGATTCCCTCTTTTGGCAGGCAAGGCATCAATTCACTGTAAAGAACATTAAAACAGCATTTTACTAGAAGTACACAATAAGGTCCATCTAAGCTGAAAACTAAAAGTTTAGGAAAAAAAAAAAGCAGGACAAACGCTAGCTAAAAAAAAAACCCAAAACTCCACAGTAGATTTTAACAGAGTTGCTGCCCAAGATTAATCAGTTTTTTTCCAGTAAGATTACCCATGTAACTTCAAAAAGCCACCCTCAGCCTCACCGCAAGTTCACTAGTATCTAGTAAGCTTATACAAGCTTGTTTCAGGTTCAGAAAAAACAAGCTTGTCTCCTCTGAGTCTTGGTCAGCTCCTCCCCAGTCATATGACAACAGCTTGCATGAATTTGCCTTCTTTACTTAAGAACTAATATTAACTTCTTACAGCTTGGAAGGGATGGAGTATGGGATAAAGGATATGGATTTGCCACACCCATGCACTTTTATAATACTAAGTAAGAAGGTGCAGACGAAGAAAAAAAAGCAAGATTTACCTTCTCTCCTGAAGTAAACACTAAAAATGTCAGGTAACTTTTGCATTAAAATCTCTGCCATCTGCAGGGCTCCAACTACTATCTTAAGGTCTTGACTTGACAGCATGGAGGCAATATGACTAAAACAGATAATTTATTAGAATTAGGTTTGTCTTTTCAATTTTTTTCTTTACATAAAAAAATCAAGACAGTTCATCTTGCACATATAGTACTGGAGGACTAAAAGCAAGCAAATCTAATTGTACTTTTTGTAAAAGCTACAGGACTGAAAAAGGCTTCTTACTGCCTAAATCATTTTTACCAAGTTTTAACACATGACATAAAGGAGAGTTTTCTTCCTTTAAAGAACATGGTGGTGTGAAACTTTGTGCTGTTTTTGAAAAACTGGTCACTTTATTTTTTAACTGCATTATTTTAACTAGATTCCTACCTCATGGTATTTCATGTAGGAGAGGTTTCATTAATAGAACTTAGCAGCTGAACGCCATGAGAGTCTTATTCACCCTGTTATTACCTCCAAAGTCATCTTACCCTCAGAAGAGTTTATAGGTAAACATCAAGACATCAAGAGAACAGTAAATGGCAATACTAGTCATTGCTAGTACACATAGCCACATAGGCAACCTAAGTTGCTTAGAGTTGGCACCTACTGCAAAACCTAAGATGCAAAAAAATCCTGAAGAACTGGCAGCCTCAGCTTTTAGAAAAAAAACATTTAAGAATTTGAAAGTACAATTTTCCCCTGAAATAAATTCATTGAAAAACACAATCACAAGTTTGAGTTGTAGGCTCAAAATTTTCATTTGCAGTGGTCAACAAACCCACCTTGAAACAGCATGGTTTTTCAACACATCCTTTAGAAGTTCAGCGTCAGCAAAATAAATTATCCTAAGAATTGCTCTAAGGCACTTGTGTCTAACAGCAGGTCCAGCTGAAGAACTATACACTTCATAAAGAACACCAAACAATGTTTTGATAAAGGATTTTGCCAGTTCTGGGTCCTCTTTCATTAGTTGTGCTCGAGCATCATCCTTCTTCAGTTCTGAATGTCCACCTATGAGAAATTGTGCAACAAATAACTGTATAGGTTTTTGCATCTTTGCTTTGATAATTACTTTCTTTTTCTAATGCTGAATTAGTTTAGCTCTTAAATTGAAAGGTGTAACTTAAGAACCAGAAGTCAAACCTATGGCAAGAAAGTATGTACAAATTCCCCTCTTTCAAGGGGTTATTTTTTTTTCTTCAGTTTTCTTACATATTTCCATAAGCCAGCAAAAAGTTGTCACACAGCCTTTGTTGAGTAAGAGCTGTATGAACAAAATTGTTTCAGAAAATTCTAAACCAGGAACACCTCTAGCTCCCCTCTCAATTTAATGCATTTTCAGTTCCCAAGAAAAGAGTTCACATGTTAAAAAGAATACATTCAGCAGTGTAAATTTTGTTGTAATGCTGTCTTCAGTCACATAAATCAGAATAGTTCGATGTTCCACATAAACCACAAGAAATGTATTAGCTGAGTAGCAGACTGTTGTATAACCCAGCTTAAGTTAGCCACAGACAGACACCAGGTGTCTCCTAAGCTGTACTTACTAGTGTTTGTATTGGCTAAAGGGTTTGGTTTTCGCTGAATGGCACGTGCTGTTCCAGTATCCTCATTTATTTGCTGCATAGAGTTAAAATCAATAGTATAGACACGCCCAAGCGTAGACAGGCTTATCTCATCCTCACCAACCTGATGAGCTGCCTAAAAACAAGAAAGGGTTTAGAGTTAAGAAATCCCTAACAAATAGGAAACTACATGAAAGCTGATGAGAGGGACAACAGTCAGAAAAACAATGACTGACAGAAATACAGTAAGAAGAGTAATTAAGCAATTCACCCATTACTGAATACCAACATGGTGTAATATTACAGCAGGAGGACTGAGGAAACTCATGTTTCTTACTCAAAGAACAAGGCTGATATTTTCAAAACCATAAAGAAAGAACTCAATTCCCTAGAAAACCACAGATATACTTAAAAAAAACATCACCACACATGTGTGTGTGATTACTACCTCTATTATTCGACTATCAATCCTGTTATAGGGATGCCAGAGACCCCTGTCATCTCGCCATTGCCATATTGCACCATCTGTATTTTGCGCATTTCCTTTCTTTAGCATAGTATCAACAGCAAAGATTCCCTCTTTTGGCAGGCAAGGCATCAATTCACTGTAAAGAACATTAAAACAGCATTTTACTAGAAGTACACAATAAGGTCCATCTAAGCTGAAAACTGTTTGCTATTGTTTTACTGAGATTATGGATTTTAACATACCAACCAGACCCAAAACCTAGGGCTGACTAACTTACCAGATAAGAGAAGTAAGCTCATAAAGTTCTTGAGGACTTCGTGGAACAAGGTCAATTTGTTCTTGACAATTCCCATTTGAGGCTCCACAAAGGAGGAAGTGAAGCGTTTCTGCAATATCTATACAAATTATTATTTATGAGATTGTGCATATCAGATCATGGATTCCATTTTGTGTTAGACACTATGCAAAAGAAACAGTCACTGCTCTAATAAAACAGACAGCAAGACAAAAGTCACTTCTTTGAACATTTTAAGAAACATGTTTATCAAGTCTCAGGTTTGCGGATTTTTTGAGTTTTGGAATTTTTCCTTGACAGGACAACTAGGGGAGAAAACATCACTCATGGAATTTTCTTCAGGGGAATGTACAAGGCAGTTGAAGTCAAAAGTCAAAATTTAAGAGATGAAAAGCAGAAAACAAGTGAAAACTAAGACAGCTACAGAGTGGTTATTTTTCTTACAGTCTTCCCTTAGAAAAAGCCCTTCCATCACATGTTTTCTTCCACCTGGTAAAGACTATGGAAAGGATTATTCCAGTTGTGTTGAAGTGAGATAAACTTGTGCAGCTAAATACAGACTTAAAATTAGGCGAGTACTCCAGTGACAACAGCTAGAGACAGGAAAGGGGAGAAAAACCCCTCAGGAAAAAAAGCTTTCAACAAGATGAACTAAACTTTGTAATCCCAGGGGAAGCACAGTAGGAGAGGGAAAAGTAAGAACACATTATTTGTATAATCAAGTTCACAAAGTCATGTGTTTACTACAGGCATTAACTGAAAGAGGTTTCCCCAGAACACGAAGGAGAAAGAACTCACTTTGCTTCATAAGCTGGACCGCAAGCGTAGGACAGTTGGAGCACATTAAGGAAAACATGCGCACCACCATGATGAACATTCCTGAGCTCAGGATAGGAGGCGTCACTACCAAGAGTTGCTGGATATTTGTTAACAAATCCTTGGAAGCAACCTGCTGGAGTAAGTTCTTTGGGATGGAAAAGCAAAGTTAAAAATGTTAGTCTGGCTTTGAAAGGTAAAATCTTAGAAGAAAATGAGGGAGGGAAGAAGGGGGGAAAAAAATGCATGCTCCAAAAAAAGACACCCTTACCTCCTCATGCTGGAAGTTGTCCACTAGCCGTGCAAAACAGAGGCAAGTGCTTTCAACAGACTTTTTGTCCTATTATTAAAAAAATAAAATAAAAATAGACTGAATTAAAATATTTTAATTTGCGCTAGATTATCTTGTCATTTTACGGCAGTTGTAACACTTCTCCAAAAAGGCCAGTCAAATCACATTTTACAGAACGTGAATTTTAAATTCATTTATACAGTCCAAACTGACCTCTTGATATGGCATATTCCCTGGGAAACACAGTTGCAACACAAATACCTTTAGGGGCCTTTAGAGATTATTAACCAAAAGGTCTATAGTATAATTTTGGAATTGTACAACAAGGAACCAAAGAAAATAGAGCTACAAAGCCTAAACAACAAGAGCTATAGAAGAAGCAGGAGTCAAAGCTGTTCTACAGAATGCATGAAGCCTGATTTTTTATATCATACCCTGCAGCCAAAAGAGTAAATCCAAAGATACCAAACAAAAGATAGCTCTAAAAACAGCTCTAATTAGAAGTTCATTGAAATACTCAGAAAGTTCATCTGAGCATAAAAATACACTTCTACTGTAAGGGTGACTGAACATTGGAAGAGGTTGCAGGAGAAGCTAAGTCTCCATATTTGCAGTTCTGAGGTTTGTTTTTTTGAAGTTAAAAACAAAACAAAAATCCTACACAAAACAGCTGCACATGGTTCTGGCCAATGTGTTCTAGCTGACCTTGCTTAAGTAGGGAATTAGGGCTATGATTACCTAACTCAAGATTTTTTTTTGCCAGAAAAATTCCACTTCAAAGTTTACTGAAATCTTACTTTTGTGGGCTGTAGCTTTTCTTCAGAGAGCAGGAGTCAGTACTTGTCCCTACTACTGCTGAGAATGGTGCTTTTATGTTTCCAAAGCACCATCTAAAGCTGACATTTGACTTCAGTGAAGCTGTCTCAAAGATTCAAGTAGTCTCTCAGCAAGAAGATATTGGCAAAGTTAAGAATAGCACAAGAACACAAAAGAACATTACCTGGAAGCTTCAATTTAGTTGTATTTATTAAGGAACAAAATAATGTATCCCTTTTCCCCTTTTTAACCTGGATCTGCCAGCCAAGCAGTATATCCAAATCTCTTGGTGCAACAGAGATCATGAGTACTCATTTATGGACAGAGCAGGATAGGCAGATCTTAGTAGTCCCATTATTTAGGATTCATCACTTCAAACTATTGTATAAGAGTAAGAACTTTTTTTTTTAAGCCATAAGCCCTCCCAAAGTCAGGTGGGGGGAAAAAAAAACAAAATCAGAAAAACACCCACAAAAATTTATGCTGAACTTCTTGAGTGAGTTTGAAGTGGGAGGGAAACTTGGAACTCCTTTGTTAAAAAAAGAACAATAATGCTACTGGTTTTCCTCTTACTGATGAGCAACTAGTAAGGACTACAAAGTTGCTATTATTCACACTGTAAGTTAAAGTACCTTACGTAACTAATTTTACAAAATTAATAACGGTGTCATGAATCCTTACAGCATGTTCACAAAAAAAGTCCACACACATTAGAATACAACAACGTGACAGTACAGAAACGTTACGGCTATTACGACATTTAAAAGGTAAACAGTAAAGAACAAGATATCTGAAGGCAACTTTATAATACTTTCAGGCTAAAATTAAAGTCTTCCACTTTATAACAGTTTCTTACCTGATGGGTTAACCTTTGTGTAAGCAGTGGCAAAGAGTCTGCCACAAAGTGAAACTCATCAGGTGTTATACTCTGGCAGCAGTTGGCAGCAATAGCTAGGGCATTCCTCTGTGCATTTATACTGAAGAATTCCAGATAGAGTAAACAGTCTGCCAACCCACCCTATAATAAAATAAACATTTTCATTCTCAGTACTGCTTATGTCACAGAAGCTTGTTTTCTTATTTCATCTTCTCAGAAGATGACCAAGATGTAGAACTGGCACAGGTTAAAAAAAAAGGGAGCTTTCTTTTTTACTTACTGCCTGCAGAATGGCTTTACTATGCCTGCGTGATAACATCTCCAGAGCTGTAAGTGCCTGCTCTGCCACATCAATGCACTGAATAACTTGCAGCTACAAGAAAAAAGAAAGCTTGTAGATTAATTTCTCAACCAGTTTGTAAAAGTAATAGTATTTATTAACACTTGGACAGTTAGCCTGTACTAAGACATGTATGCTACAGTAGCTGCACTGTAAGCAAGATAGCCGATTTAAGGCTAGATCAGCTATATTACCTACTCCGACTTACCAGTTTATGTAATTACACGGTATCTTTGTAACACTAATCAGAGAAAAAGTTCTCAGTGAATCAGACACTGCTTTTCAGTAAGGATGTGAACAAAGAATAAACCTGTTTTAAAAAGCTTCTCACACATTGAGCATTATCTTTTAAGCTATGAAAAAAAAGTCATGATCTTAGAGTTATATCATAAAGTTAAAACAAAAATAAAAATCCTCTCTGTTTAACACTGTTTCGATTTCATTTTACCTTTTCCAAGAAGACAGGAATTGCATCCACCACTACTGCAGACGATCTGGGAAGTGCTTCCATCATATACGTTAAGGCCCGACACGCATGGTTCATCTATTAAACATACAGGTTTATTTTTTTTTAAGTTGCGATTATACATTTTTCTATTTAAAAAATTTTTCAAACATTACAAATCACTTACAATATCAAAGTTGTGCTCCATCTGCAGCAGAGTTATCTGTGTTTTAAAAAAAGAAGTATTGTTAGTTTAGTAAGTATTTAGAAATCTAAGTAAGTGCACAAATCAGTATTGTAGCTTTTGACTCAGTACTTTGAATTTTGGTAGAAATTTCAGAAGAGCCACTACTTATACTTGAGCTATTAAAGAGTTAATAGGACTATTCATTTATGAAAACACGTCCTCAAAACCAAACAGTAAGATACATGGATTGACACACACGTGTGTGTGTATATATATAATTAAGAATATTTCATTTAAGAAAAATATTGAGTGAAATATTGCATCCTCCAACAGAAATATGAGATTTAATCTTTACCAAAGCTGGTACAACACTCTTGACTGGAAATCCTCCTAATGTTTCTTCATTTCCCATGACCAACAGCTGGCACATCTCAATCACTGCCTGTAGTTGCTGACTTTCATCAGTGGCTTGGAGACCTTGTAAAAGCTGTTGGGCTTTGGAACCTAGATATCCAGGAAAAAATATTAGGAAAGAACATATTAGAAGACGTAAGTGTTCAAGAGAAATGTTATGCTATACTTCTGCCAGATTGGAAGACCAAAGATAATTTCTTTTCCTCTGTATTTGTAGTTTCATTTCCTTTCCCTGTCATAAAAAGGGGGGGGATAGGAAAGGGAGGCAAAGTCTCACTCTTGGCTGTCTTTCCAGTGCAGACTGGTCAGCACAGGGTGTCCACCACACTGCTCACCACAGTCCTCTTGCCAACCTACAAGAGGTGTCAAAACCCACACCACTCCACCTTTAGAAAGTAAAGGACTTAACAACAAAGCCCCTTAATAAAACAGCACATGGAGTCTCCATGGAACCCCATCCTCTTCTTGGCAGGCAGTATAACAGGCTGCCTTTGTCTCTCCTGGGAAGCCAAACAGACTTGGGCTAGAAGGTACACATCTTATATGGCTGCATAATGCAGACATTGTGGCTCAAGACTAAGAACCATGCTCTCACTGACACACTTCCTGAAGACAATTAGTTTTAACTGAAACCCAAGACAATTTTTAAACTATAAACAACACACCTTAGAACTGACAACTACTACTAGTTTTAAAGCTAGCTTAAGCACTTGTTTAAAGCTAGCAAAAAACCCAACAGGGTTGGAGAGGCCTTTTGTTAAGCAGCCCATCATGCAAAAGAAAAAGATAAGGAAGGGGTGAAAAGGCAAGAACCCTCCCTTCCCCACCTAGAAGGGAACATTAAGATGCCCCAAAGAAAAAGAAGACAAGAAATATGGCCAGAACAAAGTTTATCTTCCTTATAGGACAGCAAGCAAATTAGTATTATTGACCAATGGTCTAGCGCTATCATGACATACAAATCTCCAACATGTAAAATATTGTATTAAACTATGAAGCTAACACAAATATTAGAATTTACTAGTGGCTGAATTCTACTACTCTGGAAGTGGAAAGAATTAAGTCAAATTAGACAAACTTTGCTTACTAGCTCCACTTCCAATTGTCCTGTGGAAGAGCTGCGACATCCGAGGACCAAGAGGGCCAAACAGGTGAGGAGGAAGACCCCTAGCCTCTAATAGAGCTAAAAGCAAACAGAGGATAACAGCCATTGTCAAAGCTTCTACATTTATTTTTAAAAGCTTAAATTCCATGATGCTATAATTTAAGACTATTAGAATTTCGATACTTTAAGTAAGAAGTATTAGGTCACTGCAGCTACCTTGATTTCCAAAAAAACCCAAAAAAAACAGAAGGATGATCTTTAGGGAATAATTTACTTATTTTTGTATGCATCAGAGCATTTAGGCCCTTTAAGAAGTCACCCACTGAGTTTCCACAGTTACGTATTTCACAGAAGAAATCTGGTCTACTAACTAAGTCTAGATCTAGAATATTAGATACACCAGACTGCAATTTCAAGTCCACACAAAATAGGTTAAGTTTATGTTCCCATTTTCAGGAATTGAGTTGCACTATCAATCTGAAAAAATAACACTGAGAAAAGGGTCAGAGCTTCATTTGTTTTTAAGCATGAGAGGGAAGGACTTCAGATGTAGGGGTTTTTTTGGTTTTGTTTTTGAGCACTTTTCAGTAGTCTTACTTAAGCTAGACTAAGTGGGTGATTCTGATTTTTACTGTAGGAAGCATAACTACTACTGATCAATACAGGAACAATGAATAGTAAAAACCAAGTCAGCTCAATATTCCTAATGCATACCTATGCTTACTGAGGACTATGAGCAAGTGACACAGCATTCATTTCCACATTAAATATCCAGATTAACCAAAACTGGTCATATGCAAGGGAGATCATGATCTCAGAACTGGCAATGGAGTGGCAAAATCATTAAAACAGTTGCAGGACATGCAAACTGAGTTTCTGTATTCTCAGGTTGTGAGACTTGAATCATTTAGCCCAAGCACAAAAGCAAGCATTTTAAGAACACTTAAGTTTTGTTTGGTCAAAGCTTAAAGCAACATGGGTATCAATGACAAGCACCAAAAAAAAAAAAAAAAAAGGTTATCCAGAAGCAGGCAGAGTTCCAACAGGCCTAACCTGACCTGTCAACTAGAAAGATGCTTGCAAAATCTAATTTTCATATTTGAGCTTACACACTTAACAGGATTCTCTACCCCCACTTCCTCCTGAAAAATCATCAATAGTACTGTACTATATACCATATAAATGAGTAAGGACACTAAGGACACTAAACCATTCCCTCTAGACATTATTTCCAACTTCCTGCATCTTTAGTGAATTAAAGCTTGTAACTCCATACTTCAGATCTACAGTAAGCAAAGCAACACATGCGCAGACAGAGAAACAAAATACAGCCTTCCCACTACATACAATACAGAATTTGGGTAGGTATGGCTACTTATAGGCTGCAAAGAAAAAAATAAATTGTACATTACTAACAACTTTTATACCTTGCAGTCTTCCCATCTCAGAATCATCTGACTCACTTTCTCCAGAGGTTGTCATACCTACAGCCCCAGCAACAGAACTAGAAGCTAAAGAAATAAAATACATGTCAATGCAAGTTAAAGAGCCTTTAAAGCCATAAATCTGCATCAATTCCACAATTTAACATTGCCACCATCATACTTCTGTACAACTGTAATGTTAAATAAACCAGTCTAATGCTTTCCAAAAGCTGAAGAGAGAGGCTATATCAACATAAGCTGATGAAAAAAAAGTTTAAAATACATCTAGATCAGGAAATTACCTTTCAGACAGATTACCTGGTTCCTTTATTTATATATGTTTTCCTTAACTGAGCGTTACGCTACACTTCGGTTCTATTAATTTTTACTTTTTGCACTGATGAAGCTAGTTTTCAACAGAAACTTCCTACAATCCAGCATAATTGCTGGAAAGCTCATTTGAACTCACAACTGATTTGACCTCATAATTTATTAACAAGTACTATTTAACAGGATTCAAGAAAAATAAACTTGATTACAAATTCCTCCAGTACGGACACACTTGCCATTTTAACAGAAAACTTGTAGCATATTTATGAGTAGTTACAAAGGAGTTTTCAGACTCAAATGCACGTCTTCTCTGCAGAGTTTGATGTCTCTTCTGTTGGCTGTACAGTCATTTACATAGCATCTGCTGATGTTCTAGCTTTTAAAAAAAGACAGATGCCTGAGACTAAAGTCTACTCTACTGGACATAGTTTGGAGACTACAAAAAAGAATAACTGCGATGTACCAGATATCCAAGAGATCAGATTAAAAAATAAGGGCCCCTCTCACTCAAAAACCTTCCAGAATTATTTACCAGCTGTAACACCTTATATAATAATTTCTCCCCAGAATTTAATCCATTTAGTTATTTTGAAATATTAAGAATCTTATATCAGCAACTGTACTAAAAATGTCTCAGTCGGAACTTCTTCTTACCTGCAGCTCCCTGGGGAGCCTCATCTGTACGCGCAGCTGAAGAGTTAACTCCATCCTGGTTGTTGTCAGGATCAGCCATCTTCTCCTGTCGGCGAGCTTCAGCTGCTCCTCTTTTGCCCAGGCCAGAGCCTCGCCGACTAAAGATTCAAAAAACAAAGTTTCAGACCTTATGAACTGAGAACAAGAGATGTATTAACATAAGACTACTCAGAATCATGTAACATTTACATAGATCACTACCACACAGGTGCACAAACAACACTTCTGTATAAGAATCAGTTTTCACAAAATTATCCATCTCTTCTTTGTCTTCCTTGCCCCATACCATGGCAGTGATTTGTTTATACTAAAGCATTACAACTAGATCATTACATTATATACCTCAAGATGAGGTAGTCTACTAAAATATAATAATAAAAATGAGCAAGATTGAAGTGACTTAGTTACAAATACTGTATACATTTGAAGAGTTTGATGATGGAATAGCTACCTCTAAAGGAAGTTCTGAACTACTGAAAGCACAGAAAACTATAATGTTCTACTTGGTTTTCAGTGACAGAACAAGTTTGAGGGCACGAGCCTTTTTAAATTTGCTTTTTCAAACACTACTGTCATTGCCACTACAAATTTATATGCCTACTAAGTAAAACAAATTCAAATGCACACTTAATGACAGAATCAGACGTCAGCAGCTTTGTTTAATTTGTTTAAATTGGGGAGAAGTTGTGCTGGAACTACTAAATGTAATTTAGGCATAAGAAAAAAGTTTAAGGCTTCATAAGTATAGCTTTAAAATATAAACAACTACAAAAATTTTTTGCACTACAGGACACATTTACTCTCCCCTCCCATTTAACCTACCAGCTGTTTAAGATAATTAATTCACAACTAATTTTTCCCTGCATCAGAATGTATATTAAGTAACTAGATATTTACAGTATTATTCAGGTGCAGCTCCTGACAAGCTGAGTCAGCACAGTAATATACACAATTAAAACAGACTCCTGTGTGCTATCATGAAGATTTATTTTCAAAATAATCATCTATTTGATTATTCACAACGGAGAGCAGTTCAGCACTCTCTCTTAGTGTTTAATATATTTTTAAACAACACCTCCCTAACAAAAGAATTACTTAAATTTGTAATATTATTGGCTTTGGGTGTTTGTCTCCTTTCACCCGCACAGGCCAGGGGCTGATTTGAAGGCCTGGTGGTGACAAATTCTATGTGCTATCCATGACACTGGTGAACAGAGTAAACTAGCAGGCCTGAAAAGCTCCAGCTACTTCTACAATAAAAAAAAAAAAAAATTAAAAAAAAGGAGATGGATAAGGTGAGTTTTCATGCATGAAAATGAAAAATATCAACTCACTGCATTTATGTTCCATTATTTTAATCTTACCTGGTGCTAGCACAGGAGCCCGTGGTCTTTTGCCGTGTGCTCCGCCGCAAACTGGGGAGCTCAGCAGGTGGTGATTCACTGCGCTTCTTTGTAGATTTTCTTAGACCTATTTAATATGGAAAAAAATGAGAGTCAATCAGCCTTCAAATAGAGAGCAGTTCTACAAAGAAAGTAAACTTCCATGTACAGGAAACTTACATGTAGAAGAAGAGCTTCTAACACAGGACCCGAAATAAGTGCACATCAGCTTTTAGTCACCTAACACTGAACTGATGTACCAGTGAAAAAAGGTTCAGATACTTACTTTTAAATCATTATTTTAAGTAATACGAAACTCCAAGATGTTACCTAGACACCTTTTCCTAAACTACACACTACAGTCATACAAGAGCTTGTCACCCTCTCTCATGCTAAACATATATTACATTATGGGATACAAGTTTATTATTTCCACAAACTGCTGCTCAAAACACTTAAAACAGAAGAAGATGCTTTAGATAAAGAGAGAAAAAGAAATTACATTGGCAAAGAGGGCAGTGGTGGTTGCATCTGTTTTCACCCACCTCTGAGTCAGCCTCTGTACTATAGAACTTAATCTTCTTCACTAAATTAATCATTATCTTTAGGCAGTTTTATTCATAATAGTATGGCTTAAGAATAACTGTCTTAAATCAAACCCATGCTACTCCCTCCCCAGGACTGTCAGGGTTGAGATCTGTCATATGTATTATTTGTGTTCCTGTTCAGCTACATCCCTTCAACCCCTGTCACCGTCACAGGGTCTTTCCTGAAGCAAATAATCAAGTGTATCTTCACAGCTTTGGAGAAGGAGTTCCCAAGTTTTAAATGTATAAGTATTTGCACAGCTGAAGACTGACCCAACTGGTATTAATTTGCTCTAGGTTATGAAGCCATTGTTCTCATGACACAGCCCACCATAGAACCAGGTAAATCTTAACCACACAAAACCCAGGGAATACTGCATTTCAGATGAGGAGCAAGATTACTATTAGACTGAAATATCCCATTATAGCTCCCAAACCAGAAGGCTGATAATTAAAAAGTGTAAAAAATTAAAAATCCTTATCTGGCCTAGCTTAACATTTCAGTCCCAACCACCTCCTTCACTCTAAAATAAATAAGAGAACCCCACAACATTCAATTTAGACATACTCCTACCAGAACAGATAAAAGATGACAAAGTTATGTCACTGCTCCCTCTTCTGGCAACAAAGTCGAAACAAAACATTTAAACGTGCAATGTTTCTGAGCACAGTACCTATCAAACCGACTCCTGACTACTTCCTTAATTCCAAAACATTCCTGGAATGCTGAGTTGCAGTATTGAGGAATAAAGTGATAACTACACAAATTCTGACTGGATATTTAACAGAAAAGAAAAAATGCTCAGAAAAGCTATTCTTGACCTAGTCTGTCCTTTCAAACACTATGTTATCTTTGACCCAGGAACACAATGCTGTGGCAGTTAAGTTCCATATAGATGAAAGTTAACCTGATATTTGTGTATTTACTACACACCTGGCTTACTGACCCAAGAAAACTGGCAGCCTTAAGGAAACAAAGTCATGTACTTAACAGCCACCAGGCACTGAACCTGGCCAACCACTTGAATATTCAGATGGTCTGTATATACAGAACAAAATATGTTATTTTCTCATATATTAAAAAAGTAGCATTTTTACTACATATGTTTTCAAATAAAAAATTAAGTTGAAGTTGCTACAACAGAAATACATGAGTACTCCAACTCTACTCGCATACAGTAAGACAGGGAGAGAAGTAGGTTATGAAGTAGAGATACAAGACAAAAAAAAGCCTGAAAAAGTTGCCACAGGATTCCAATACCATAGCTATCTAATTTTCTCAAGTACTAGAAGCACACAGATACAAAACTCCCCTCATAGCTGCTTATATTTTACAACAGAAAATGCAAGCTTTAACTGCAATTAGGTATAGCACTGTATTACTCCACAGAAAACGTGTTTATCACTGAGTTTATCTTACACATAAGGAAAAGTAGGCTACTCAGTACCTATAACAGCATGGTGAAACTCTAAGTGAGATGTACTTTTGCCTTGCATTTTGAAGAGTAAGTTAATCAGCCTGTTACAGTGGAGTTCACTGGAAAACTGTAAAATATATTGTAATTCTTTATATCAGCATAACACCTTCTACTTTAAATCTGTAGGTACTCATTTTCAGGTAATCTTCAGACCTAAATATTCAGTAACTTCTTATCAGTTTAGCAACAGTCTATCAATACAACCCCAAATCAAAACAGGATTTCTGCTAAGGGTAAAGGTTTTGCCAAATAGCAGTGCTTAACAGCTTACTGTTGTTAAACAGTGTGATACAGTCACTCATGTCTTACTGTCCCCAAACCAACCCCAAGATGCACAAAGTGCACACCTGACACTGTTGTTCTGTTGATACTCTGGCAGCTTAGTGAGCTGAGATTGCGTAACATGGGTCAGATGAGCACAGACACTGTGAAGCAGTAGGGAAATGAAACCGTAAAATGGGTTGTCCTTTTCTGTAAGAGGTATTAATTAGCTGAGCCCTCTCTTTGAACTGAATTACCTCAGTAAGCAGGTTTTGAAGAATGTAAAGAGCTACCCAGTTATCTCCTGGTGGATAAGCTGCAGAATACATCACAGCCTGAACACCCAGAAGAGCTCAACTTACCTTCTCCTGCTGCTCAGGAGTAATGTTCTACTTGGGCAGAAAGAGGTCACATTTCCCAAGTCCTCATTTATCTACCAGGGCACATAAACTTCCAACTCCCTCTATTAATTTCAAAGACTAAAAAGGATGAGACAGAAGACTTCTCAGAGCTTACTCCCTTCCTGCTGTTCAATGCCACTCTCTTCCCTTAAAGTTCATTGTTTAAGGTTTCCTAAGTCAATCTTACCACCCACATCTTTTGCAGTCCTTTGAATCTTCCCAGTACCACAAGACACAGGACTGCTAAATTCTTCAGCATAGGATTGAACTTGCCCTTCACTGGCATTGTCAAAATTTGATCTCCCCATTAAGGCACTGCCAGCATGGCATCCAGACTAAGAATTAGCCCTGTGTCTATAGGAGTTGCAGGAGGCTAACAGCCCCAAGCCTCACTGCTAAAAAGGGCTCAACCAGCATTCAGAGAGATGGGATGAGATGTTCCGATTGCCTGACAAAGGAAAGCACTAGTCATACTGCCACAGACAGTGGCAAGGGATTTCAGAGGAAGAGGTTTGACATTCATCTCCAGAAGTTATTTGGCTCTATTTCTGCTTTCAAAGAGCAGGCAGAAGTTATGAACAGAGCGGGACTTTGAACAAACCAAAAGAAAATTAGGTTTCAGCAGCTCACATTCAGTAACTGCAAAAGCTTCAGATGTAAACTTCAGAGTTACAGTAGAGGCATAGATTTCCTTAGGCAAACAAACATATTACTTATGCCCTGACATCATCCTTTTTGCATGCCAAACACTCATGACTCTGAAGGAAAACTGATCCAAACAGGCTAAACCTGAACCAGCACAGCCTAACATCAATCAAACAAACAAACCAAAAAAAGTAATAATATCTTCACATTTAAGTGTGTTTACTGGTCAGCTGCTTTTTTTTTTCTTTAAGGCATTTTTTGTTGCATGGAAGAAAACAGTTCTGAATGCAGCTGTACTGCATTCATTTATTTTGAGTATATTACCCAAGCCAACATAAAGTTAGTCAAATTTTTTCAGTCCATAACCTGGAAAGGCCTTTGTTTGCAGCTGAGAAAGATAAGCAGCCAAGGTTTACTTTTTGGGACTGGAAATTCAGATTGGTTCCTGTGTTGGGCTGTTCTCCTTACACAACAGAGGGAAAATACCTGTGGACAGGGAAAGCAAGACAACCTCCTTGTCATTCTAATACTCCACCACTCCCCTCCCTCAGTACCCACTCAAACATCCTCCCAGATCTTGATTACACAGCCCCACACAGCCCTAGTTCACAGTTAAACCAGGTATATCCAAAGCTAGTAATCTTACTTCCTCCATCACAAGTCCGTATCTCCAAGGCTCTATTGACCATCATGCAGACAGCAATGCACCCACAGTCCCAAATAAACTAATTCAGAGCTGCTTTCATACTATATTCTCCATCACCTCTACCAAATCCCTTGAAGCCAGGAGTCAAACACCATTCATGCTCCATGTTCACCTTCATGTGGCTTTTTGGTATACCCTAATCATCTCTCTACCGCAAAATCTTCAAGTATTAGGCTTCCCTCTCATGGGCAACCACTCTAAGTTACTATTCTCTCAGCACGGTCCCAACCGTCATTGCCAGCTGCTTCCTACTTAAGGACCGTAAGACGCTACACAAAGGCCAGCAGAGATTTCCCTAATAATGGAGACATAATTAAGCTTGATTTTATATTGTTACATAATCAGCAAGGTGACCCAATTTGCAAAATTTAAAAAGCTCCTACAAAATATAGAGCTTGAAAAGGATGTGAAAACACTCAAGTATTTATTGTTTAGCTAGAGAAAAAAACTTGCTGCCCCCAGCCACCCATCAAGAAACATTTATCTACAAAAACAGAGGTGAAAAACTTTACCCTAGCCTGTTTTTGCTCTTTCAACAAATTCTACAGCTGTTATTCAGTGATATCACTGCTCAGTTACACAGGCTACTCTGTAGCTGAAGACATGGAAAGTCACCTTGGCTGCATTTAACAACTACTAATTATCCAGTAACAACTGAAAAATAAACCTCAGAGTATTGCCCTCCAAAACAATAAAAGCTTCTGCAAAGATGGCAACCATGTCTCTCCTTGACTCTTCAGTCAAGTAAGCCAGATCAGCTCTTCCAGTTTTTCCTTCAAAGATCATAACTACTAATAATTCTTGTACTTTCTGTATTACAATACCCAGAATTGAACAGCATTGCATTTGCATTGACATGACTAAACATATATTAGCCAGAATAACCCCACAACATCTCCTACTTTTCTTCCTAGAACCCCTCCCCCATCATTCTTCCTGAAGTTTTTGCAGCTCCTTATGTTATGTTATGCTATGTTATGTTAAGTTATGTTATGTTATGTTATGTATTTCGGTTTATCTCCCACTAGTTCTGTAAGCCCTACTGCAAGCTTCTTCAAATCTGTTCCACATTATATCCATATACAAGTCTGAGCTTTAACTTTACTTTCTACACAGAAATACTATGATTTCGAAGGGTATGTTTCCAGGTAGAGGCGTGTACACCTCAGTAAGCCAATCTAGATCACTATTTGCCTTACTGCTTTAGAAAGCTTTAAGAGTGTTAATATTTGTGTGAAAAATCACCTATTTCTGCTCCCTTATCCTCCAAAGGTACTAGCTTGCTACAGAAAATGAATTTAAATTTACTCATTCCTCCTCAAAAATCTACCTTAAAGATTTTTAAAATACTTTGTCACTTCCCAGCATTATCCAAAATGTGTATTTGGTTAAAATATTTCAAATTTGTCCCAATATCTGAGTTAGTGAAGCTATATAAGACAAGTTTTCTTTTTTTTAAAAAAGGCCAAGTTAACAATAGTTACTATTTGTTCAAAAAACACTAACTCTGTTGTCAAAGAGCTCTAATGCTCTATTTGAAAGGCTGAGACTATTTGAAAATATCAAAGTTTAACACTTTTCTTCTATTCTAGGTTGAATTCTTACTCTTAGTAGTAATTCAGTATAATCACTTACTCTGATCAACGATATTCAACATAAACTTTGAATTAAGTTTTGCTGTTATGTACAGTAAACTAAAGAGGCATTAAACACTTTGGAATTCCTACAACCACCATTAGTATTTTCTCCCTCCCTCCAACTGAGATGCCTTTTTAAGAAAGAAACTTTAACCTCTACCAAGTCTAGCCATGTCTCTCACCATCCTTTGAGCCCCCTGCCAGTGACCTTTTATACATTACACACATCCATATATATGGACCGTAGATCCATACCAACTTGGTTTTGTGACATACACTTGAATGTCTGAGTTTAACTTAAGTTTATCTTTTTGCAAAAGGTGACTTTCAGGTCATGGAGTAGCTAAAGCTCGTCAAGTTGCCTTTCTCAATATCATCTTTGTGGAGACAGTTTACATTCAGTTTATGTAGACAGGCTTACATTCTCTAGGCTGTTTTTCAAGCTTCTCAACACATACTGCCTTATATTGTGCTATCTCACCCTTCCCCTTCTCAATTCACGCTCAAGTTTTGTAATTTATCGCATAAATTACTCTCTGGTTTCACATTCTCATTGTTCCCTTGTTGGAGGCAAATTCTCTTTCACCCTGTTGCTTTTCTTCATTGCTAGAAAGTTGGCTGTAACAAAGACAGACTTTGCTAATAACTCATGGACAGTCCCACTCTTGCTTGTTTTTTTCCTGCCTCACACTGAAGAAATGAAGTTTTTACTGTGAAATTCATCACCTAAGTAAGCTTTGAACCATGACGCAAGTGGATAAAACCTTGCTAAAAAGAAAAAAAGACTTTGCTCCCCTTCCCTGATACTATTCTTCCTCAATTAGGTTGGGTCACTCCGAAATCAATAATCCAGTCATGCATGTTATCCAAAACAAGCCTGCTAGGTCAATTAAATCTATTTTGATTATACAGGAAGACATACAGTTGCTCTTGTGTATTTCACGTATTTCCTGCATTAGTACTAGCTATCACCATGCCACAGTTGGGACAAGTGACTTGTGATCATGTCTAGGCACAGGAACAACAGTAAACAAGCTTAGGAATACAACTTCTTGAACCAAGTTTTAGAGAATACATGCTGTAAGTAAATCACAGCACAGAAAGGTAGCATAACAAATTTAAAAAATTGTTCAAGGCAACAGAGCTACAAGTGTATCTGCCCACAAGCAAGCAGGTGCTCTGCTCAGAGACAGTCTATATTTATTAGTGACAATGTCCAAGAACAGTACCTGCTATTCAAATTCAGCACCAGAGATACGACATATTTTATAGGAACAGTTTAAAAGGTAAAGTGACTAATGTCCCAGGCACTAGGTGCACTAGGTTTAGAAATTACTGTTCTTAAAGTAACATCATAAACTCTCACAATAAGGAAAAATTAGGAACATGGGCTTAAAACAAGAAACCACACATTATCCACTTGTTTTCCAGCATTTATCATTCCCACTTCTGGACAGAAAGCTGAAGAAAATGAGGAAAAAATAACCTGACATGAGTAATATAATGAAGGGAATTTAAGAACATGTGTGTTATCATCACAACACCCAACTATTCTGCACATATTTTATTTTCTAAATTTATTTGCAAGCAAAATTTATGCAAGACAGAGAAGCAATTTAAACTTACAGAACACTGACTGTACTCAATTTGCTTTTGCTGCAAATACTTTGTCACAGCTTTACTTGAAGGCTCAGCAGAACACACTAGAAGTTAATTTCTCTAATAAGATCCCAAGAAGTCTGAAAACAATAGAAGCATTTGCTTAGAAGATTTGGTTTTAAAGTGTTTATACTTATTCTTCCAGAAAAGAAAAAACTTACTTGCTAGCTTAGCTTGTAGTCCCGAAGGTCCAGGTTTTGATGTCTCTGACTTGGAAGAGCCTGGTAGAGACAGTTTTGTTTTAGGGAGACTGACTTTTGGGCTGAATCGAGCAGCCCAGTCAAACTTTGAAGAGCCACTTGTTTTACTTGGTTCTTTGTCCCTGCTACTCCTTCTTGGACTGGGGCTGGATGCAGAACGAGAACGTCTAGCCTTATTCTGGTCCTTTCCCTGTTTCACTCTGGCACCTTGAGGAACAGTAGAAGAAGCAGAGGCAACAGCAGAAGAGGAGGAGGATGTGGAAGCTGAAGAAGAAGAATCAGTAATGGTGCTACACCCAGCTTTGGCTGAGGTCACCGATTTTGAAGCCAGCTTGGAGAGTTTTGCTGACTTCTCTTCAGCGCCAGTTGATTCAACTGATGAACCACTCTTTATACAAGACAGATTCTCTGTCCTTTTCCTTTTCTGACTTCGGGAGCTACCAGCAGCTCCACCCTTTCTGGTGTGAGCCTTGCTTGTTGATGGCAATTGTGTAGACTTGGGCGGTTCTTGGTCTAACTGTCGTCTTTTAGATTTAGTATGTGGTTTATTAGTTTCCAAGGAAGTTTCAGTGTGCTGAAGTGCTTTGGGTTTTTTAGCAGAGCTAGGAGAATTGGTCCTCCTGTAATCTGGACTAGCACTGCGTTTAACTCCTCGACAATTGTCTCTCTTAGGCACTTGCCCCGTTTTTTGCTTTTCTGAAGTACTGATTCTCTCTGGATCTTCTTGTTGTGGTATTAAAACAGCAGATGAGCTAGAGCCTCTGTAGAAGTAAGCAGAAATAGCATTAGTACCAAACTCAAGAAACCTCATGTTGCAACAGTTTAGTGCAATAAATATCAGCATTCTTTAATATTAAGTGAAATCATAGGAAAGAAAAAAGGCCAATTATTAAGTTTACATTAAAAAAGGAAAAAAAACATGCTTTTATGAGCAGTCATATTGCAAATGTGAAAACTAAAACAAAAATCCAGAAGAAAAACACAGTATGCTGCTTTTTTTAAAGAGGAAGATATAAGGTAACTTGGACAAATTTTACTGTTTGTTGTTTTCTTCATATAGGTATGTCACACTGATTAAAAACAAAAAGAATTCAAGTCATGAGCCTATTATACAAATGCCTGCAAATGTAAGTTCCTCAAGAGAATAAGGAGTGTTCAGTAATGCATAACTAGTCATATCTGGTTTCTAGCTCAAGGAAGGCTCTTACCAAAACATAAGTTTTTCACCAATTTTGAAATTGAGGTAATGAATCGCACACAAAAAAAGAAAAAATTGTCTTATACTTGACAGAAAACTGCTTCAGTGTGCATACAGCAGAAGTGCATGAATGACAGATAGAACATGACCAAGATGATTACCCAGAACACAGGCACACTTTCTATTATTACATGTTTCAATTATTATCAGACATTGCTCAGAACTCCTTGGGCAATCTTCCCCCAACATGAAGTAGTAAATGGGGAAAAAGACCTCGCAAGTATTCCAGGACTAGTTATGCAGAAATCTTTTCCTCCCCATCACTGATGGAATCCTCTTGGTCAGTGAATTAGAAAAACAAAACCAGAATGTGAAACACTGAAATAGATCTACAGAATGCAATACCTCATTTAGTTTAAATCTATAAGTTATATATTTTATAAGAACTCTGTATAATTAGATATATTTTACACAATTGTGAAGCACAGATAACACTGGTTAATATATGAATACAAAGTACAATTACCTTTTAGAAAAGTGTCCCTTGGACTGCTCAGAAGTAGTATTAGACTGCACTTTGGGTGTCTTTGAAATTGATTTTCTACTCTCAGGAGGGCTATGTGCCTTATGTTTTGCCTGCCCTAAATGTGACCTGTCAGCAGAAAGTCAAAACAGAAAGCTATCAGGATTCCAAGATACAGATACAAACCCATAGGTGGAATTATTTATTTTTTTTGACCATTCTCAAGTATTAGTTTACAGCTTCAAAACTCCCCATATCAACTCCTAACATTAAACCAATATTTCAACTGCCTGATGCAGTTACAAATCACTACCAGTGTAACTGTTTTGTAAAGCACACAATTATTTAGTCACTTTAAATGAATAAAGCATCCTCTCATACCAAGCTGTGCAAATAAATTCAACTTTCTGGTGTGCAACATTACTGAATTATTCACTGAAGCATTAAGTTTGAACACTAAAGAACAAGACTAGAGCATCTGTCAAAGACCTCTTTCTCAGAAATAGATACAAACTCAGCATACATACTCAAAATTCTATGCACTAAGACTTGACCTAGTTGAGAGTGTTCACAAGTTTATCTCTTTGCTCTTCAGTTTAAAAAAATCAAATGCTTGGAATGGGAATGCAACCAGTTCCACTCACTAGGAAAGTTCAACCCTATCAGTTACTTTCTGGCTGCAAATCCACAAATTCAAAGGATTCAGAGCTGTTTGGTAACAGCTGAAGTAAGACAAATGAAGAAATCCATGCTACTGATGTAGTCAGATGAGAAAGGAAACCTGTGATGTCAGATAAAGCAATGAGTTTCACAGAGATAAGCTACAAGTCTTCCAAGCAGCTTTCACTGCATGCAAAAAATGGTTTATTGCACAAGCTCTGACTGGAGGACAAAGATCCTACGTCATAGATTAAATTTAAGACTAAAGTTACTTGTTTACATATTCCATATCTATTTTTCAAAACCAGTAAGAATTACCATCTACAAGACTCAGAAGAGACAGCTCACCAGAATTTAAATTAACACAGTATAAATAATTGCTAAGGTAAGAGACATCTCACTTTTAGTTCCCTGGATGAAACATACTTTTGATCCTGTCACGAGGAAAACTCTACTGTTCATATCCTACCCGTACAGAAACTCCAAGCACCACTAGCCTTTAGGAAACCTCAAGCTAGCCTAACATTAATGCTGGAAGAAGCAATGTGTTTTCAAGTTAAAGAATTGCTAATATATGATTATATGCTACTGACCTAGGCTATCTATTCCTTTGAGTTGAGCTACACAAATGTCTTTGAATGCTATTGGGGAAGAAGAAGTATAACTTCATATTTAAGTGTCCTGCTCCAACCTATGACCCCAAGCCCAATCCATCACATCAAACATCAAGAAGTTTAGGCCAAAAGAGTAAGTGGAAAAAGTAGAAGAGTTCCATAAGCTTTCCAATAGCTTCTACGAACCAAATACCAGAAAATTAGTAGCAAAGGCAGAGCAAAGTCTGCTACTGAACCAAAAGGTTCACCATCCTCTTAAGCATTTTAACACAAACATAAGCTTTAGAAAGAAAAAAGTACCAAGTCTAATCACCTAAGTCAAAACCACATGCCAGTTTGTTGACAGGGTCAAAAACGTAAGTAAAACAGTCATATTATTGATATTTTTGTTAACTTCCCTTTCTCTGTTCCAGATTATTCTCATTTAGTGAGATACTCAAAACAGATGAAAGCATCTAGACAGCACATACTCAAAATACTTTCTTGGCTCATCTTGCTAAGACCATAACAGTCTGAAAATATCCTAACAGCATCTTCTCCATACTCTGGTAATTTGCTTTTATTTCTCTTACGAGAAAAAATCCCTTTTAATATAAAAGTGTTAATTAATACAGATCTTCAGCTCACATTAACAAACTTCATCAAGGCATTTTGGGAATGTTTCACCTTATCCTGAGTGGGTTTTCCTTTTCCCAACAAAAGATTTGGGCATGAAATTTAATTTTCCCCTTTACATGTTTTTATTACAGGAGTAAGAGAAGTTATTGCATAATTTACACTTGTCAAGAGTATCTTTTTTTTATATAAGCTAATTGATCAGGGTTTGTTTGTTCTGAAGTATCTTTTAAAAGGTTATTTTTGTTTTGCTTTAATTAGCGTTGGAGTCAACTTAGCCCATAAAGTATTCACAGAAACCAAGTATTTTAAGATATTTTCAACTACAATACAGATACAGGAATACAGCACAACATCCAGTACTTAAATCACATACTGAGGAGTTTCCACTCGGTACCAGGCTTCCCCAGTTCCACCTTCAAACCTTTCAGGTTCTTACAAGTTTTACAAACCTAATTTCATACCAATGTCCAAATTATGTGGACCAATACAGCTAGAACCCTACCCTGGAGATAGTGAATACTGTATCATGTAGACTATTTGTATTTACTCTATTTTCTTAACCCATCTAACTATCAGTAGAAATAACACTCCTAGCCAGTGCAGAAATGTTACACTAGAAACATAACAAATGGAGCCAAAGATTAATGAGGATTTTATTAAATTTTATTTTTTAAGACCTACTAGGCACTCACTTCCTATTCTTTAATCATTAATTTTGCATGTGTTGCAAAGAGAAGGTACGCAAAAGAACAGCAATTGTACATGCAGTAGCATGTTTGTTAAAATGAGCATGACATTAACTCCCCTTCTCTAAGATTTATAGAATGGCAAGCAAACTGTCCATCTGGAGAGTCCACAGGATTAAGTTCAAATAACTTAACCATACACCAACTAACAAATATTGTCTTAACTTTTATTAAGACAGTTTGCTTAAGGTCTCCTTGAAAATTACCTTACATACAAAGGTAGTTTGAACAGTCTGATAAGCTGGAAATAAATCGAGTAACACGTGGAGAACTAAGTGTTATGAAAGGTACATGGGCTACTGGAAGATAAATTCTTGTTAAAAGCTGTAAGCTACCTGTACTTTTGCCCATAACTTACCCATTGACAAGCTCTTTACTCTTCTCCACTAACACAGCATTAATTCAGAAGCTTCATTTGAACAAATATTTCAGGAACAAGTATTTTGAGGAGCTAAGCTCCCCATTAATGATGAAAAATTATAAGGTAAGTATTTACAAGCTTATATTTGTCTATTTCTATTTGCAGGGGCAGGTTCCAGAAGACTGAGTGCTTGCTGTACCTTCAAGCATTGTTTTGGGGGATTTTTCTTTGTTGACTTTTTCCACCTCACAACTTACTTTCATAACCCACTCCAAGGCTTCACTCTACTGGTCAAAGCTGTATGCTGATACACATTTTAATTCACAGATAGACACTCAGTTTACAGTAGCGCACACAGAGAAGTTCACAATTGACCCACTATTTATTTTGAAGTATTTATAATAAACAAACTGCAACAAGCCCTAGTCTTCCTTAGCAAAACCATAATAAAGAATCAACTGTAACCTGTCCTCAAAGAATTACTCTGTGCATATTAAAAAAAAACACACCTTTTGAAGTTAGCTAATAAACAAAGTGTTTCATCTAAGTCATGTTCCTTAGCAGCTGAGAATGAGGTATTAAATGCTTTCAAATATGAAGTCTACAAAATTAAACACCCTATTACTTCTGCCAAGAGAGACTAGAAAAGCAATAGCACAGATGAAATAAGTTGTGTAAAAACCCCTACTTTTCTTCTCAGAAATATTGTCTTCCCCATTGATTCAAATATTAAGTTTAGCTATTAACATCTTACCTGAGACTTGTGTAAAAGCTAACATATAATCAAGACTGGTCCAAAACCAAATCCTGTTCATAACAAAAGTAATAACTAAAAAAATAATTCTTGCTTTACTATTTGAAGAACAGTCCAAATTGTCTTCTAGATTCTGCTTATATCCATCCCCTATGCAGCTAACAAGCATCTCTTGTTTCTCAGTCAGCCTTAAATCCCAAATGTACATGAACACTTATATACTATATCCTGAAAACTTAGAATTTGTATCAAGTCTACTGGAAGAGATGGTTCAGACAAGGACGGACCCCATCAGGTCCCATAAACTTGCGCACTTCCAGGCTCTTTTGATGGTCACAAACCTCTTATTCTCCTATAGTGGGGGATGCTTCATTCTCCCAGTTCTTGCTTTCACCTGCTGTGGCCTTTGCAATGAGGCTGGAGCACTCACCAGATAAGACTGATGCAAAGAAGTCATTGAGAACCTCAGCCTTCTCAATATCCTGCATATTTAGGTCTCCCATTTCCTTCAGGAGACAGTGTACATTTTCCTTGGTTGTCCCTTTATCCCCAACATACTTACAGAAGCTTTTCTTATTGTTCTTTACATCCGTGGTAAGATTTAATTCCATCTGGGGATAATGACTCTTCTAACCTAATCCGGAGCTGCTCAGGCAACCTCTCTGTAGTCCTCCCAGTGTACCTGCCCTAGCTACCACCTTCTGTATGCTTCCTTCTTAAGTTAGAGCTTTCCTAGGAGCTGCTTGCTCATCCACACCAGCCTCCTTGAGTTTTTACCTGACTTTCTCTTTGCTGGGATGCATTGTTCTTGGGCCTGGAGAAGGTGATCCTTAAATATTGGCCAGCTTTCATAGGCCCCTCTACCCTGCTCCTCTAGAACACAACTTCCAGTTTAATTTCACACAAATTTCATCCAAAGAGTCAAAATCAAGTGTTCCAAGGCCATTCCATTATGTTAGCCAAAGCACAGGCAGTGAGTTGCTTCAAAATAACGTATCCCAACTCAAATAAAATACTATCACAGATACACCGTAAGTTGACAGTTAAAGAAGTATTCTCCAAAAACAATTTTCACTCACTAAATAATCAGCTACGTAAGTCAGCAACTTCCCCCTCCTCATGCTACAGGAGCCCAGGAAAGAAGTCTTGTGTTTATCATCTGCTTTTTCCATTTGTACAGTAGAGACTAGTTTAGAAAAAGTAAAGCTGCATTCTGTAGATTGAGTTATTCCCACCCAATGTTCCCTAAGAGAACAGTTGGCCTCCCTAATCCATTTAACCTTGTTCTAAGTTATACTTTATACTAGTAAGAAATACACCTCATCTTCATCATACAGTACAGCCTGATTCCTTCATTGGCTCTTCTTTTTGTGCCACTGACCTGTGATATTTTAATACTCTTCTAAAACAAAAACAAATACAGACCACAACAAACAAGCCCAAGATACGCATTCAAACAACAGGAACAGTAACACCTTGGAGAAAGCAAAATACAGACTAATACTGCCTAACATGATACCATAACCTTCCTTCATTAGATTAATATTTTAACAAATTAAAGGAAGACTTTGCCATACTGACTTCATTCATTCACAGAAAGCCTCTTAATTCCTTAAAGGACATGGCAATAATTATATAGTCAGCATCCACAGACAGGTTTCAAGGACTATCTGTGTTGAGCATTGAAGAGGTAACCTCTTATAGAGTAAATACAACCTTGTCCACTCACTCACTAGTAGAAGTGTATTCAACAACGGCAAACCTTTTGTTCTTGGATTATTCAAAAGCTACACAGGATTAACATACAGTGCAAGGGAACAGAAAAGTATAGACTGGATAACTGGCACCAACAGGGACATAGATTTCCCCAGATTTCACACAGCAATATCTCCCTGTATCCTCCCACATATTTTTGTTATCAGCAACAGAAAAGGCAGAAGGAATTTGTTACTACTTGTGATTTGTGGAATATAGCTCAGATACACTTTTTCTCCATAGATCTTTTACTGCTATTTCACCTGAACAGGCATGATAGTGAGTTAACCATGTTTCCATTCCACACAATAACACCACAGACAGCATTTCAGGAGCAAAAAGATTGTTCTCAAGTTTCAGTGCTTGGATTGCAGGGGCGAAAACTTCATTCTCTAAGTTATGTGAATTTTGCTTTTATTCATTAAAGCACACTCATAAGTAACTTTCATACCTTCCTCCTACTGCGTCGTCTTGTGGCTGGGCCCCAGCAGTGTTCCTCTGTGAACGTCGCAGTGACCCCCCTGGATTGTTATTAGGCCGGTTGGACATTGGCACCTCTCTCCTGAAGGGACATACCCTTTCTAGACACTATCATTCACTGAAAGACAAAAGAGATACAGTCATAAGATGTGTGGCGTGAAGACTTGCCACTACGCCTCCAGAGGCCAATGTAAAATGCTGTTGTTTAAGCAAAAACTTAACTAAAAATTGTTAAAAGTTTTTGTCTTAAAAGGCACACAAACCAACACTCTTCAAGAGCATTTAGATCCTTAATACAAAGCAGCCAGACTTCAGTATGTATCACACAGAGATGGACTCTTGGACTAAATTACTTTTAAAGGTTTCCTCCAACCCAAGCTATTGTATGATTCTATGTGGACATGCTTCTTTTCTAGGAATCTTCTATAATTATGTTAAAGAGACAAACAAATGCAATTTAGGACAACTTGTATTTGTCAACATTAAGGAAAAACACACTAGCTAGTAAAACTCAGTGTTTGATAGAGCAATAGTGCTTAAGGATTTTAACTCTCATTGTAGATGACAATGCCAGTTTCAGAAATAAGCAGTCTCCACAAGCTTCAGAGCTTTCAGTACAGCTTCTTTCTTCAGTTAGCTTCCCTTTGCATAAATATATATACATAGTAATTCAGGAAAAGAGCTCTAGCTTTATAAAAAAGCAATCCTTGCCCATCAGAGCTTAAGTAGTCAGAAAAGGTATCTGGGACAGAAGAATTTAAAAGTACAGAACTAGTCTTAAAAATAATATGATTATTTGCATTACTTCTGGAATTGCTTTGACTGCTAGAGGTCTACAGATACTATTTTGGTAATTATTTATGGAAGACTACCACAACATGCAGCTGCAGGTCACAGAAACTGAGGCATTTCAAGATCAAGCCTCATTCAGCACCTTAATAAAGACATGTAACACTTGTATCCTGTGCTAAATTGGTATTTCTATGCAGAGAGACCAACAGGACCAAAACCAGCAAATCCTGTTTTACAGTTTCTAATTGTGTGGAATCTGGTAAAGAAGTTATGTGCAAGGAAAAGAAAAAGGCAAAAGAAGGAAAATAAGCAAACTTTTAAGAACAGTCTATATGCTGATTCAGTTTCCATTATCGTTATAACACAGTAACCACCAAGTCTGCCAAGAAAACGTTTGAAACATATCAGCTACAGCTAACTAAGGCTCAGCCCAAATTCAAATTATTCCAATAAAATAACTCTCCAGACCCACCACTTTCAGTAAAGCCAGACAATACTTGATTAGAATTGTCTATTCCTTTGAAAGACCATACAGAAGTGAACAAATGCAAGTAGAAAAAAAAAAAACCAACATAAATGATTCAATTTTACTATAGGCCATAAGACACCAGGCACAGAAACTGGTATTATGCAAAGCACTGCCTCACATACCTAGTACAATGCCAAAAGGAACATTTATAGGATCAAGATACCTGCACCACACAAGAAATTATTTATCAAGATTCTGCTGCCTCACATTCAAGTCTTATTACACTGTAATGATAAAACCTAGTACTCAAATTTCCCAGTTAGCATGCCAGAAATACTTTAAACAAGCTCCAGGAATCAAATAAGAATACAAGTTAGGCTGAAGAATTGTCCCCCATCTTAATTCCTACATCACAGGAGTCAAAAGCATCCATGAAAATTTCTTCCTGTTCTTTCCACTAAAAGATCTAACACAGAAGCAGACAACAAAAGCAAAAACTAAGATTAATTAGCAAATCATTATCTTTACCTTGGGGTTTTTGTTTGGTTTTCTTTTGTTGTTTTGGTTTTCACCTTGTGCTTCAGAACTTGAAAGGATATAAGTAGAGCCAAAATACACAAATCCAAACCCCACCGTTGTTAAATGAGCCTTGTTGTTAAACAGCCTTGGTGACTGGGAAGCTGAGAAAGCTGTAAACAGTACTCCTCAGAAGCTGAGCTTTCCCTCTTCATTATTATGCCTCTTATCCTAACTCCTTAATCATAGCAAATATTCCTGCTAACAGAAATGTTTAAATATTTAAATTAATATATGACAACACCAGTTTACAACTTCTTATACTTTAGAACACAAAAGGATTTACGATGGAACAGAAAAAGCTTGCTATAGATGGAAACATGCTGGCTTGCTGACAGAGCCAGATTAGTCAGGTTGAGGAGAACGTAAGGGGTAGCATTCTTTGCAAAGTAGACTGCAGTTGCAAGACAACCCTAGCATTAACCAGGCAGAAAGCTGACCGAAGTTCCAGCTGAAGTCTATCATAGGCCTTGTGAAGTGCATTTTCAGTTTGTTTCTTTCTATTCAAATACCAAATAAACATTCTCATAAGCATCAGCAAGGAAGCATGTTTTCTGCCATTTCTGAAAGCAGGGAGCTGTACAGCCCCCCTGTTCAAAAGTCAACTGAAAGTTGAAATTGAGTAATGATGTCAAAACCATCAGTCATACTATGACACAGTTGCCATCTGCTCTATCACCTCATGCCACCTATAACAACATACATTCCAACAGGTTTCATTCTTCAAGGAGCAGTGCTAACTCCAGAGCTCTGCTACTTCTGCCACATGCTTTCACACCAGGGCCAGTACATGGGCTCCTCCACGAAATACCAGAAGATTTAACTGAAGAAAACATCACACAGGCCATTCTGGTGCTCTCTAGAGAAACTTTCATGTTGATCTGCCTGAGTAAGTCACTCACTTTAAGTAGTCTGTGCTTAGAAGTTATGCAGCACAGTGTGTTGTCATACCTGTGATACTTTCAACTGTAGCAGCTGGTTTATCCTGTAAGGTATCTCTCAAGTCAAGACAATATATAAAGGCACCTTCAATGCCAAAACTTCTCCATTTAATTATGTTTCTTATTGTGCAGTGTGATACCATATGACCATAGTTTTCCTGACTCCTAGCTTGCCTTTAAATATAATGCTGTTTCATGATTCAACTATGACCTGTAACATTAAAACACTAACTTCAGTCTCATTCCGAGTATCTGTAGCCACACAGTAACACATGCTCAGTTAGCTCAGTAGGAAAGAGATGTCTCCACTGGGTCACAACTCTTACCTTCCACGTGCTAGACCAACAGAATAAAGCCCTAAAGTTCCTAAAACTGAACAGTTGTGACTTGTCCCTCCATTTGTAAGCCCCACTCCCAGCACTTGGCTAATTCTTTCCCCTCTTAAGATACCTAAATTCAAAGCAGATGTGCAACCCAGTAGATCGGTGGAATGCACCAGTGCAGTCCTGTCACATTTTAAGATCATTTCCTCAAATACATCGAGCATTCTCCCCACAGTCACAATAAGAAAAAGCTACTACTGTACAGCTAATCTGTGTGCTTCAGTTGACAGGCTTTATGATTTCAGAATTTTAAGTTCAGGTCCTCTTGCAACATAAAGTTTTCTGTAAACAAGTCATTTTACTTCACATTTCACAACTCCATATTCCTTGCTGTAATGATGCCAGAGCACTGGACTGCAGATGTTGTCCTCATGAGCAGACTAATGAGGATGAATACTAAAACCCAGCATTTCAAATAAATTCATAACACATCTTCTGAAGACACAGGAAGGCATCTAGTTGTTATTATTTTACATAGTATTCTAAGTTTTAGTCAACAGTTTCATTCCCCTTGACAGTCATCTTTGTTACTGTAGATGACAGCAATTATAATTAGTTTCTGTAGACCTCATGTACCCAACACAAACATTTTTGCTAAATTATAGCCAACATAACTTGGAGAGGTTCCACAGAAACACAAAATGCAAAAAACACATGCCATGTTGCAGTGAAGCCTTCACCTCTCTTCTTACAGAAAAGTCAACAGGAAGTGACTGACACTTTTCCACATCTTTGAAGCAAACTGAGGAAACAGACAACCATAGAACAATACTGCACCAGCTTTTACTTAATGCCCAAAAGCATTTCTTGAAGGATACTGAGTAGTGTAATGCAGGCTACACATTGTAAAAGAGAATGAGTAAACTGAAGCACTCACACAGGCTCTAAATAGCTTAACAAGGTAAATTGGTAACAATCCCTGCAAAAACTAAATTGAATATTTTCATGGGAAAAGAGCTTTCTTCATGTACCTGGATGAGCTCTAGAACTTGTTTTTTGGGTTTTGTTTGGGTGGTTTGTTTTTCAGGAACTTCTTTTCAAGAGTCTTGGTAGTAAAAGAATTTTCAGGCTCTTGCACTCTACTTTCTGAAATATTTAATATGCCAAGCACCTCTACCTATACTATTCCATTACAATGCCTGTTATCTGCTGGGGGTTAAGTGCACTGGTTGGCATACTTCCTCTTTTGTACCTTGGCCCAAAAAACATTGCCTTACTTAATGCTGCTGCAGCATAACTGCAAATACTTACTGCTCTGAAGTCAGTATTAGGCAAAAGGAAGGGAAGAAGGGAAAGACGGGAGGATGTTTATATGCCTTGTAAGTTCAGAACATTTTCTTCCAGCAAGTTGCATATCTTGCCAGCCAGAACCCAGAGTTCAGCATACTTATCACAAAAAGTTAAGTCTAAGCCTTCAGATTTGTATTCCTTCACTTCAATGTAGATAATGTTAATTTACTTGATCAGCTGTATCTGTGAAAAATTTAGCCAGTTTAGCAGAAAACACAGGCTAAATGTAACACATTTTAAGAGTTGAGATATTGACTGCAACTAAACTGAAGAACTTACTGCATACGGTTCAATAACTGCTGAATTGTTTAGGACCTGCATTACTTCACTTTAATCTGATCTCATAGCTGCACCTCATTTTTGCTCACTGCTCAAAAGGTTCTCCTCATTTACTTGCAAACATACACACCTATTTTCTTGCCCTGCAAGCAAGCACTTGCAAGCATTCATTCAATTACTTCTACTACTTCACCAGCTGACTCAGATGCTCATTATTCATATGACTTTTTACCCCAGTTAGTTGCTTTAAACTGACTCCAGTGCAGCTGACTTGGACACAACATTCTTGCTCACTATACTCTCTAAATTCAATAGTTATCAACTCTGCCCAGTTCTTTTTCCACTGCAGTCCTCACTTCTACACACAATTTCCATGTCAAAGCTCCTTACAGG